GAATCCTTTCTCATCAAAGTTGTAGATATTCGCAGGTTCAAGGTTGTATTTCGTGATTTTTGCCTGCAGCTGAAAAATTAAGATAAATTAGCAAGATGAGAATTAAAAAAGCAGTATAAGAAAGAAATCTATTACAAGATTAAAATAATGCTTGAAGTATGCAGAATTGTCTGCAATCTTGCATTTTTGGTCGATATTTCGCAGGTGTGTGTGTGTGTGTGTTTTTATTTAACGCCCGGTTAGTCCACGTGCCTTATGGGCACGTGATCTAGTAGAGTCCGCGTCGAACTATAGGGCGGGTAGAGCTGCGCCCGTAGGCGACTACCTATCTAGTAGCTATCTTACAAATGAGGCAAAAGGGTTGCGTATTGCTGCACCGGCAGAGCCCATGGGTCGGTTGCCATAGAGCAGAGGTTTTGAGAGGTTTTAGGTTTGTGGGAGGGAGGTAGGGGAGGCGGATAGAAAGGAAGGCAAGGAAGGAAAGAAAGGGGAGGAAAGAGAGGAAGGAGGAGGAGGTGGTGAGGAAGACAGGGGCAAGACAGAGGAGAGGATGGTCTGTGGGATCTGATCTGGAGGTGCGCGACGGCGCATTGGACAGATATTCTGATAGAAGGCTGTTTCTCTTAGCCAGTTATTGAATTCTAGGGCCCCACGCGAGGTTGCCAGTGTCTCGCGGAGATTGTAGATAGGCCGGCGCCGCTTTGCTGCTTTTCTTGCAAGAGTGCAATAGTAGAAATGTTCTGGGGTTTTGCTATGTCCGCACCGGCAGTAGCACTCTGCATCTTCATGCTTAAGGTGGCTGTGGCAGGCTGCAAAGTCTCCATGACCTGATCGGGCGGCATAGAGCTTTCCTAATGTGAAGCGTGAAAGTTTTACCTCTGTTGAGGCTCTCTTTAGTGGGATCTCCAGCTCCATATAGCGTTTGGGCCGATTTTTGGCCCAGTAGTTCTCAAAGGCCTGTGTGGTTTGTTCCATAGTGTGCCGCTTTATATAAGCTAGAGTGCCTATGCTGTCGGGTTGAGGTACCATGCTTGCACTTGCTGCCTGCGCTGCGGCTGCTTTGGCTTCAAGATCTGCCTTTTCATTACCAGCCACGCCTGCGTGGCCTGGGACCCATCTAATGACCACCCTGCTCTGGGTGGCCAATGGGAGCCTATCCCTGCTCTGCCAGGCCTTTATGGCTTTCAGAAACTGCGCGAAGACCTGCTGGCTAGAGGTGTTTGGCACGGATCCAAGGGCTTGTGCTACCTCCAAATTGTCTAGGCAAATGTAGACGTTGCTGGCAAACTTCGCCTGAGGTGAGGTGGTGGCTTCCTTTAGGCCCTGCAGGGCTGCCATTGCCTCTGCATCAAAGACCTCTGCTTTATCCATTGGCAGGTTTCCTGTGGAGATTAGATGGTGTTCACTACCCCAGCATATAGCCCATCCTGCACCAGTCGCGCGCTGAGGGCGCTCTATCTGTGAACCATCGGTAAAGACCACCAGATCCAGGGGATTGCGTTGTTGTAGCCAGCTCTTAAAGTCTTGTGCTGCCTGTTCCTTTGTGCGGCCTGCCTCATACCCAATCTGCAGATCTTCTTTCCTGGGAAATCTCATCCAAGGGGGCGTGAGTAGAGGGTCATATGCTTCTATCCCACCAGCATGACTGGACGCTCTAGACAGACGTGTGGTATAGGGCTTGGTGGTAGCTACTTTATTAGAGCGCCTCACTAGCGGGTGCCTCTTGTCAAGCTTTTTGATTCTTACTGCAAATACAGCACGCCGGTTGTCTAGTGTCTCTTTCATTGGCATGATTCCTAGCTCACGGTGTAGAGCTGAAATGGGTGTGGTCTTGTAGACTGGCAGTGCCCCTCGCAAAGCATCTCTAAGGGCTAGATCTAGCTTTCTGACTAGGCAATCCATTCGACTGGAGATTTCCTTTCCCTTCTCCATTCGTGTGGCTCCAGGCCACCAGGCCTCTGCTCCATAGCAGAGCACAGAGAGCACACAGGCCTGAATGGATTGTCTAAGCAGTTGTACTGGGGCGCCTCTTGCCGTGTTGCTTAGTGCCCGTATGCCATTAGACACCTGTCGTGCCTTAGCCGCCATGGTCTCCACGTGTTTCTTGAAGCTCAGTTTTCTATCTAGCCAGATTCCTAGATATCTTATGGAGCTTTTCACTGCATTTGCTGTAATAGAGTGAGTGCCAGATGTTGTTTCAAGGTCAATTGAGGGGTTTGAAAGGATTCTGCGCCGTGTGAAGTGTGCTATCTCAGTTTTGGCAAAATCAAATGTTAGCCCTTCTTTGCTGGCCCAATCATTTAGCAACTTGAAATCCTCCTGGAGAGTAACAACATTCCCTTCAAGAGTGGTTCCAGCACTAAGCAGTCCTAGATCATCTGCGTAGCCTGAGCGTGCACGTCTTCTTTGTATAGTTCCTAGAAAGAACAGAGGCTGAATAAACAGCATGAATAGAATAGGTGAGACTGGCGAGCCTTGTGGAAGCCCTGCTGGGATATCAAAGAGCTCTCCCAGGAGTCCATCCAATCTGATCCTGCCTGTGCGTCCTGTCATGAAGCTTTCCACTCATCTAATTAAATTTGGTGGCCAGCCTTGTTCTTGCAATCTCCGCAGCATCCTTCCTCTGAGTACAGCATCAAAAGCACCCTTGATGTCCAGAGTAAGAAGAGAGACTACTTTTCCATGGGCCCAGGCTTCCTCTATATCATGAACCATCGCTGCCACTAGGTCTGAGGCAGCCCGCCCAGGGAGGGCTCCAAAGTGCTGGGGGTGGACAATCTTCTCTTGTATAGCTGTCCAGGCCAGCCTACGGGCTACCAGGCGTTCCAGTCCCTTCCCCAACGTTGAGAGAAGGGCTGTAAGCCTGTAGGATCGCGGGAGTGTTGGATCTCTGTTGACCTTAGGCAGCACAACCAGTGTGGCATCTCGAAAGGAGGTTGGGTGCCAGCCAACCCTAAGGCAGGCTCTGAACAGCCTTTCCACCGATACCTTAATATGTGGCCATGCCTTTCGTAGCACCTCTGTTGGCACTCCATCAGTTCCTGGAGTGGTATTACCCGTGTTCAGCAGAGAACTTTGTATCTCATGTGCTGAGGCAACAGGAAATGGTAATTTGACAGATGGTGGGTTGGACCAGCTAACTGGGATATCCTCTCTGCTTGCAGCCTTCTGTAAGAGCACCCGTTGCAGAAGGTCTCTTTTCTCTCTAGGGGTTGTTCGCGTTCGCCCAGTCTCTTCATCTACAAGAGGGGGGGAATGAAAGGAGCCAGTTGAATGGGCCCATTTGATCATCTTAAAGATATCTTTCCCCACTGAGGCCTCTGCTATCTTGCCTCGCCAGTATTCTCTCTTGGCTTTCCTGGTGATCCTGGCTACGTTGCTTTTTGCTTCTCGTAAAAAACTAGAGCCTAGGCGCTGTGCACGATGTAGTGTTGTCACTGCTTTCTGGCAGTCCTCATTCCACCATGGCTGACCTGTGCCTTGCCCGGTGCTCTTCTTGGTGGAACTTTCCAGGGAAGCTATTAGTGCATCTGTGATACCTTTAGCCAGGGCATCCAGCTGATCTGTATTGGGGTACTCTGGGATATCACATAGTTTGTCTAGTTTTGGCTTATAGGCCTCCAGCGTCTGGTTAAAGACCTTCTCATTCATGGTGTCGAGACGGAAAAAATGGGGTGGCCTGTCAGGCCTTGCGCCCTGTGGAAGGCTGATTTTGGTGAGAAGAGTCTGGTGGTCAGAGGAAGTGTAAAGGGATCTGTCCACCTGTGTGTCCACTCCTTTGATAACTAATTCCGGGGTGGCCCAGGCCAGGTCTATCATGTTATGCCCACGTGTGGGGGTGTCTGGGTCCATGGTGAGAGTAAAGTTGAAATCCATGGTCCATTGCAGGAATGGTTCCGCCCACATGCTTGGAGGCACTCCTGGTTGCCACACGGGGTGCTTGATATTGAGGTCGCCAGCAAGGAGCAACGGGAGTGCTGGGACAGACCAGGAGAGAAGACAGCCCACACCTTGTCCAGGATCCTCTGCGCCTGGGGGTGCATTGTATATGTTGACTGTCTGAAGCTGTAGACCCCAGGCCTGTATGTGCAGCATGTGGATGTCCCGGTTTTCTGCCCAGGGGCCTGGGACTGCATGAGCATGGATTTGTGGGTGTTTACGCACATAGGTGAGGACCCGTGGCTTCCTGTCCCACTTTTCAATTGGGGCAAAGCAGTTGAATGCTGGATGCTTTTTGGAGATGCATTGGCTTAAGTTCCTGTGAATCCAGGGTTCCTGTATGAAAAGGATGTCAGTCTTTCTTTCAAACACTAGATTGAGGGCCGTCTCGTGTGCTGGGCCCCCTTTTCCTACGTTGACTTGCATAATCTGCAGGAATTGCGGAGACCTAGAGTTCTTCTTCATTGAGTAGCTGAAAGGAGGGTGTTGTTGCGTGAGATGACGTGTTGGGTGTTGCATTAGGTGTTGGGTTGGGCGCCATGCCTAATGCTGTGCCTGATGCTGTGCTCAATGCTGTGCTTGGTGCTGTGTTTGATGTCGGTGTGAGGTTAGATCTACGCTCAGTAGAATCATTCAACCTCAGGTCTGCTGATGGCCCTCGACCACCGCATTTGCTGTTACTTGCCTTGGCCAAGTATGCCTTACTCTGTGCATTGTGGATATCTCTCAGCTGATTTCTTGTGTGCCTTTGAACAGTCCCATTCTTTATCCCTGGTCTGGCGGGGCAGGATGGATCATCCGCGGCATGTGGTCCAAGACAGTTAGTGCAGCGATTGGGGCATCCACATGCTTCATTCTCCTTATGACAGAATGGATTTCCTTTCACATGATTCTTAGAACTGCATTTTTTGCAGTGAGGGACGCGGAGGCAGTATCTCTCTTGATGAAATCCCCAGCATTTGCTGCATTGTTGTATTTTGACCTTAGGTGCCTTTCTGATCACTGGTCTTTGATATCCATATAGTTCCACTTTTGATGGCAGGTTTACTGCTGTCTCTTGTGAAAAGTGTAATATAAGGGTGGCTGTTGGGTTTCCGGGGTGTATTTTTGCCCAGCGACTCTGGACAGGCTTGATTCTGGTTTGGAGTGTGAATTCTTCTGTCATGGATTCTGCTGAGAGACGCAGAGTTCCACCATCATAGTCACTAATCTCCATGGGCAGCCCAGGAATCAGGCAGGTGATCCAATGTTCTTCCTTCTCTATCTGAGCATTGGTGAGAGTGGCTGCTAAAACATTCTTTTGGGCTAGCAGGGCCTCCATGTCTTGCAAGCTTCTAGGAATGATGGCAATGCCTGTGGGGATGGCTTGAACTGCTGTGATGGCTGCTGCCAAAGGCCCCGGGAGTTCAGCCTTCAGCTTTCTAAGAGTAGCAATTGGGCTTGCTTTGCGAGCTAGATGATCTGAAGGCAGGCGCGCGAGGATTCGTGGTGTTTTTCCTTCTCTGGGGTTATTCCTAAGCAGGGGTTTCTGCAGTATGGTTGCTGGTGTTTTTGTTACATTGGTGCTGTCTGCAGCTGTCTTTGCGTAGGTAGGAGCTCTTGCATCATTTGCACCAGTGGAGCCAGCAGGCTTGATTGTGGTGGACTGCTTAGCTGTTTCTAGACTTCCATTGTACCAGTCCTTGACTAACGCCTTCACGGCGGCTCCAAGGGCCAGTGCCCTTGATAGGCCTTTTGCCTTCATGACATCTAGGTCTTCTTCAATCCGATCAAGCATATTTGCAGCAGCTAGTGCTTCTGCATGGGATTTCTGTGCCTCAGCCTCGTGGGCGGCTAGGAGATCGCTAGCCATCGGGCCACGTAGGTTGAGACGTATTGGTGCGACATTTCTGCTCTTTGAGCTGCCTGCTGGTGTAGGGGAGCTTGGAGGCTCCATGTCATTCAGTTCACATGTGCGGCGGGCGATTGGGGTGAGGAGATGGGGTCTCTTGGGTGGACGGCGTATGGGGGAGCAGATGCGCGTCAAGGCTCGGGACGCGTTCGGTGGTGTTGGGGGGCTGGGCGCGCTGGCAGCGCTGCGTCGGCACGCCATCAGGCTTGCTGCCTGAGGGGATGGGAGAGAGCTTATAGGGATGTGATCAGGATTGATTAAGATGTTTTTGTATAACAGTTCTGACCTGTGTTGTTGTGTGTGATATTTCGCAGGTAGAGCAACTTGATCACATCCTTGTGGCGCTCGCAGAACCAAGCCACCCAGTTGACTCCAATAGGTGCTTTTAGAATCTCAACAACATGATTATGAAGGATTTGGGGCGTACAAGGGAAACCGCGATCTGCCAATCGATTGATATGAAAAAGGAGCCGTTTTTCTTGCGAATCAATGAGAGCTTTGCAGTGGATAGAGCTTGCTTCCTTTCTTGACATTTGAAAGCCTCTATAACGCCTTGACAACGTATATCGGCTGATTCCATATTTTTTAGCGGTCTCAGTGTAATTAGGCGTTAATTGCGCGTTCAAATCATCAATCGCGGCTTGTATAACTGCTTCGTGGTGCATGTTGTGGGTGGTTAAAGATGAATGAAAAATGAAGATTTGAGCGGGCGTTGGGTGTAAACGGGCGTTGGGTGGTTGATTACGTTACCTCTCTCGCTGCTGAATCCCCCCCCCAAATCCGCAATAAAAATTAAATACAGGAATCAGATGCTAGTTTCCCTATTACGAAAAGCTCTATTACGCATCTGCACTGTAACTTTGCAAAGCAACCATGTAATTATTCCCCTAATCCCTATTCTCATTACACCCCAGAGCCTTCGTCTTCTTTACGTAGTGAAGGACGTGCTTCAGGACTGCCCAGTAGTCTTTATTCGGGCGCGAATTGAACCTTGATAAATAATTCACGGCGGACGCCAAATCTGGCCTCGTGCTTGATACGAGATATTGGAGTGATCCGAGCCCCTGACGATACCTCGTAGCCGTAAACTCGTCTTCCAATCCGGCGTCCCCCTCAGGAGCAAATTTAAGCCGTATGCCCGCCGCCATAGGTGTGCTAGCGGGGTTAACCTTATCTATCCCAAAATCTTCAAGGATCTCTTCAATATAGAGGATCTGTGAGACTGCCAAATCACCATTAGGCCTGCGTTTGACCTCCATCCCAAGATAGGGCTTGTCTTCTTCGACATCTTTTGCCTCAAATTTCTTCCGTATCTCACCCAACACCCAATCTAAATTCGCCTCTTGGGGCCTGTAACCCTGCAATCGTCGACATGCAGCGTCAGGTAAATCTTGCGGATAGGATGAAATAGGAATCCTCCGTCGTATTTTGAAATCTTAAACCCCAGCGATGTGAGGTGCTCTGTCGCAACAAAATACCAGGTCCTTGCAACTTGTTTCATGCCATACAAGCTCTGCCTAAGGAGGCCAACTAGTCCCCCCCTTCCATGTGTAATGCCCGTAGCCAACTGCATATAGACCATTTCATACTGCGGCAGTACGCCATTCAAAAATGCCGACACGTAGTCGATCGACTTCGACTTCCAACCTCTGGCAGTCGATATAGCGAATAGGGAGCGGGTCGTAGGCCCTGAGACGACTGCGGCATAAGATTTGGAGTACTGGACGCCCTGCTGCTGCAGGAACCCACTAACCACCCAGCGGGCCCTGAAACGGATCATCTCACCCCTATTATTCAACTTACGGTCAAACACCCATTTGCCTGTCAAGATATCCATCTCAGGCATCTTCTCAACGACAACGCACGTCTTCTTATTCTTGAACATCTCAACTTCTTTCCTCATCGCTTCGAGCCAGTGGTTCCAATCTAGGCTCTTTTTCGCCGCCGCCAGGCCATTCGGACGATCCGTAAACATGCTCAGGACAGGATCGGTGTCACTGGCAGGCATCTCAGATTCATTATTCTCAACTAGCTCCGTCTCATCGAGCAGGTAGGCCGGATCAATGGCATCCTCCAGGTCGCCATTAATCAACATCTTCAAAACCTCTGGTTTATCCTTCGCTAGTCGTCCTAGCAGATAGTGGTGCTAGCCATTCAGGGGGTCAACAACATCCAATTCCTTTGGCAGTTCAACATCTTCTCCTGTAACCCACCAATCGCTACTCCTTGCCATCTGTCCTGTCCGTGAGCTTATTCGTCACTTTTAGGTCCTTCTTATAAACCTTGCACCCCCACCAGCGGATCTAATGAACTGACGGTTCGATCCCTGTCCAGGCTTCGAAAGGTGTCAATGGACTGCCATCTTTGCAGCCAAAATTCTTCGTTGATGTAGGAGACGTATTTATCATCATTACGGCCGCCTGCATCGCTTCACCCCAAAACTCTCTGGCAAGCCCACTATCAAATAGGAGACTCCTTGTCTTATTCAACACTAACCGATTCGCACGTTCTGCGGGGCCATTTGATTGAGGCGTATCCGGGGTAGTCACTTCATACACCATCCCCCTATTCTTGCAAAATACCTTCAGATCATCACTTTAGAACTCTCCTCCGCCATCCCAATGCAGAGTCCCTAAGGGCCGTTGAGATGTCGCCTCGATCATGCCAATGAAGTTCATAAGCGCCGGCGTGGCGTGGCAATCAGGATAATCCACCTAAAACGGGTGGCGTTGTCCGCAATCCCTATCCAGTATCTTGCGCATCCTTCGGTAGGTAGGTTATCTTCATCGTATAACGTCTTACCCCCACCTGCAAGGTCCACGAAAGATCTCATTGCCGGTTTGACGGCTCTGGTCATTGGGGTGAAAGGCAGACGGGTCATTTTCGCTTGCACACACCTCTTGCAGAATGGCAAAGTGGATTCCCAGTATTTTGCGGTCGTCGGTTGTTTGAGCTGGGCATGCTCTTGAGATAGTGAGCAGTCCGGGCGCAGATATCCCGAACCTCACGAAAGGTGATGCAATTGGCACAGGCTGCTGCAACCATGCGTTGCAGGTCAAAGGAGAGCTTATGGAGGAAGTCTGCTTTATAATCTTCATTTTGAAATTGAGCTACCCCAGCCAAATGCAAGAACTTGGTTGCAAATATGTGGTAGTCATCTCCATTTCTCATTACCAGCCGTTGGTACTCCATCTTTGCATTCTCCAGCTTGTTGACATCCTCATATATTCCATGAAGGTACACAAACACTTCCTTTGCTGTTTCAAACTTCTCAGGATGGTCTTCTCTCATTCTTGGAGCCTGGTGCCTTGCAGATTCACCATCTGTTCAGTTTTCAATATAGGCGATACAGCTTTCATCCGTTGGAAAGTGGTAGCATTGACAGCCAGCTTGCGTTTCATTCTTGAGAGCCAGTTCTCAAATATTGGTTCTTTCCCATCAGTGAGGTGCTTGGGATCATCAAGCTTTGCCGATCGTTGCACCCGCTGTGTGTCCACCAGTCTGATTTGTGAGGCCAAGGAGTTCACAGTCTGCTGTAGGGCGTTCCGTTCCTCTATCAGACTGTCCACCTGCTGGTCCAAATCATTCATTTGTCTTTGCTGATTGTCTCGCTCCAATTGGAGTCTTCCTATGTGGTTCCTAGCTCCATGCATAAGGCCAGAAATCTCTTGATACACTCGTCTGGGGTCCTTCTCCATCGATGCAAAAAACAGTTCCATAGATATAGCCTCTCTTGGTCTCATCTCTCCCTCCACTTGAGTCATGTTGTCCCAGTCTGACCTCCATGAACCACCAGTTCCTTCGATAGCTTCCGACATGCTCGTGGTCTTCTTGGGGATTGAAAACAAAAGTAAATAAAGATTCTCTTAGAGGTTTTTCACCTAAAACCTGCTTTAAAAGGGGCAGGAAAAGTAATGGATCTTAGTATTATGTCACGGCTTCAATCTAGGCGTAGGTAAACAGGCTTATCTGCATCCCTAGTCTAGGATCCGCTGCCAATCTTGATATATCCGCTGGGTTTAGGTGTCCCAGCCTTTTGATGCCACTGCACCATTGTGTATTCCAAAATCTTGATGTCGCCCTTGGGTAGCTCCAATAGGGGATTGTAATTCGACCGCAAAACGTACGCGGGTTCAAAATCACCGTTTGGCATTACAAAAGAGACCAAATCTCTCAATGCTGGCGGCTTTTCCACCACGTATATATTTTTGTTATTTAAATACGCTGTTAAACTTGTCATCCTGCCAGGAGACGTCAGCAAGGTTGAATGATTATTGCTGTACGCCAACTGTTTGAAAGTATAACCTTTGCGTGCGAGCTTGCCGAAGCTCATTAGGTTGACCTCCAGCTTCGGGACCTAACGGACGTCATCCAGTTGGATATTCGATTCTTCGGTTGGGATGCTCACCCTCCCTACAGCCGCTACTGGGGCCGTAGATCCGTCCGCCATCTCCAACATGACATTAGATTTTTGGGGCGTAACCTCGACAATATCCTTCAGAGGCGTGGCGTAGGCTCCTGATCCAGAGTCTAGGATCCAGGTTTCCTCTACCACCTTACCACTGGAATACGCCGTCTCTTTGGCACAGAATACTTGCTCCACAGCGTTTGGACCAGAGCAGCGTTGCCAATATCCTTATCCTTGTCTCTATCCTTATCCTTCCCCTTACGGTCCGCAGGGCGTTTTTCCGGATATTTCGTCCAACAGTCAGCCTTGAGATGTCCTGCCTTGTGGCATGTCTTATTTGTATTGTTGCCACTACCCTGCTTGGACTCCTTATTTTTGCCTTTGTCTTTAAGCCCCAAATCCTTATCCTTACTCTTATTCTTTTTCGATGAATCTTGGGCATTATTCGCAGGATTTTTCATATCCGTCACGGCAGTGTTCTGTCCAGCGGCTGGCAGGTGCGATAGAATATCTCGACACAGTCCCATGAAATCCGTCTCAATATCTTGGGCGTTGGTATCTTTCGCGGCGTGGTCCATCCTATCTCTGATGAATGGTCTCTAGGCTAGCCTTGCGCTTGACTAGGGTGTGAAATCGGCTCTGGTCGCAGCTGCAATGCGAAGTGGCTCCAGAATCAATTAACCAATCCAGTGTTTCATCTGATCAATATACTCGCTCGCGTACAACATTCGCTGAGTCAAATACGCCGTGATCCCGCATATATTTGACCTCATCAATCATGGACTGATCTCTTGACAAAGGAGATTCGTTTGAAGGATTCGGTAGATTCGCTGAATTCAGCAGCTTCATCAGTTTCACTGCTTGTATCTGCAATTCGCCTAGCCTTGGCCTTTGCTTTGGCCTTCCCCTTACTAGGGGCCTTCCGTGGTCTATTGAATGCCCTCTTAGCTGGCTTCTTAGCTGAATCTTCGCTAGATTCTCCATCTTCACCAGCTTCCTTGCATTCCTTAGCAAAATGACCTTTCTTGCCGCAGTTGAAGCACTTCACATCCTTCTTCCACCTTATTCGACTGACTAATTCACTAGGCCTTTCAGCATTCTTCCATCTCAGCATGGTGTCATTCAACCGCATAAGGATAAGATGCTTCTGATGTTGCTCTCGCTTTGCTAGCAACTATTCACTGTTCTCCATTGCTTGAACTGAGGCTTCATATTCTTTCAGTAAACCTTGGAATGTCAACCGTTTCCATATAAATTATACTCACCCAACAAGCCGTTCGTTCATTACAATCTGCGTGTTAGATTAGTTAGATACGGCAATACATTCGTTCGTTGGCTCTGTTTATTCAATCCTCTTTATGGTAGTATGTAGTTGGCCCCAAGGATATTCAACTCACCCACTGGCTCTGGTCAACTCGTTTACTAGAGCTTCCAATTTGAGATCTGCTTTCGCATGCCATTCAGGGTCACACCACTAACTGTTCCATATCTCTTCTCTAGGAATAGCCACTGATCCCCTGCGTACATCATATGCCTAATTGCTGTTTGATCTCCTGGGCTGATGGTCTTTGATATCGTCATTGAAACTTTTGCATTCAGTGCCATGCAATCTTCATCATCGGCTAGGGGTTGGATGCGCCTGTCCGCAGATTCAACTCCGGTATTCAGTGGGCTAGCGGTTGGCGTAACACTACGCATCCTTTCAAATGTAGTCGCGGTCTCATTCCGTATCTTTGTATTCTCTCGTACGGGCTTCCATGCTTTCTTGCTCATTAAATATCGTTGAATCTGGCCCGACCAGTGGGCGTAATTGCTGCTACTCAACTTAGGAAGTTCTGTTCCGGCCCCATATTGAATCCGTTCGATCCACTCTGTGGAATTCACTGTATATATGCTTGATCCGCCGATCAAGGCTTCGTGCCTAGCTATTGTGCCTAGCTATTAGGGCTTCCGTGCGGCTCTCGCTACTAACAGGGCTTTCGCTTAGTTCCTTTAACTAGGATTTCCGTATAGGCTTCGCTAAGCCTACACTTCGCCGTCGAATCGCTCGTTCCACAGCTCCGGCTGAATAAGGGTTGTTAAGCCTTAGTACAGCACCATGAGCCTTAGTACAGCACCATGACATGCTACCATGAAGAGGATTGAATAAACAGAGCAACGAACGAATGTGTTGCCGTATCTAACTAATCTAACACGCAGATTGTAATGAACGAACGGCTTGTTGGGTGAATATAAAATGTAAGGAAGGGATCTTTCAAATGAGTGGAGGTTGTGTCAAGCCGGAAGTAGTTATTCCGACTCCGGATAGAAGAGGCTTGGCTAGTTAATGTATCAATGGGTAAAAGGCATAAAATATGACGTGTAAATGTCAACACCATGACGGAGACGGTTTTACAATGGATCCAAGTGCGGGGCTACAAGATCTGAAACTCTTGATCGACAAGCCTAACGGGCAAAGTGAAGCCTTTTATCAGAGACAGGAACTGATTGATGTTTTTGTGACGCGAAGACTCCTTATACGAACTCCTTGGTCACACTGCTTACTGAGGCACTTCAGATCAGATTACCTCACACCACTATTTCCCCATTCCATGGAAGATTAGGGGGGTAAAACCTATTATTGTCACTCATTCATGTACATCAACACTCTGAATCCCCCGAATTCCTTTCAAGAGATTCAGTGGCTAGCTACTATTCAATCCTACACCTACGTTTTCGCCCATCGCTATCCTCTTCCCTCCATAGCGCTCGCAGCGCCTATATTCCTACTCTCTTACAATATTAGTTATTGTGCTTCTCACGCTTCCTTTTGACACTTAGCCCTCCACATCAAGTGTCCTCACAGTTTCTAACCACTCTATGAGAGGTTGCCCGTTCAGCCTATAACAATGGGTCCGAAACCTAACCCACGAACCGACACGGAACACGTGAATCTAATGAAGAAGTGCGGGTAGAAGAAGCCCCCTACGAACAATCATCTAGTCTGACTTCAGAAAGAAATACTGAAGCACCTCATACATCAATTGGCGAGGAGATCCAGGCAGTTGAACATGAACGAGAACGCTTAGAGATATACAAAAAACTCCTTGACCTACAACAACAAGTCAACACTCTTCGCGCAGAAATTCAAGCCTCTGAGAGCAACCAGCGCGACACAGAGCCAACTGATCACACTATTAGTGCCAACCTCCCCTACCTCAAGTTCACGTCTGCAGCAATTCGAGAACTCTGAAATGAGTTTAAGGCAAAAAACCTCGAGGATCTAGAAGATATTATCTCTTCAAGCCTCGCTTTCTACGCCTACCAAAAACAATACTTTGAGAATATTGATGAACACAAAATTCTTGAAGCAGCAACGCATTTTGATGCCAACCTTCCACAAAAATGGCAACAATACTACACCAACCTGAAGACACCTATTACCTGGAGTGAATTTTATAACTGGATTCATGCTAGGCTTATCAATCCTGACAAGGCAAACCAGGACTACGAGCTGAAATATCAAGAACTAAAACAATCTGAGGGTCAAACTATACATGACTTTGTATTTGCTCTTCAGTCGATTGAAAGAAATCTCCGCCAGAAGTACAGTGATTATCATCGAAAGGTTCATCTATTTAATAAGATCCTATCCTCTCTCCGTGCAGAGTTTGAGAGATATGCAGTCAAGCTGGACGACCTCTCCTATGACGCTTTCATCATGAAACTGGGCATTGTGGAAAGCAACATCCTGAAAACTACCACACCATCAAGCGCAACTACGCAACGAAAGAGGAGTGCTGGTCGCGGAAACCATTCACGTGATGTTGCACCGACAGCACGTCAAAATGACAGCCAAAAACGCAAAGAGTGCTCCAACACCTGGTGTGATGTCCATCAGAGCACGACACACTCCAATGCAGACTGCAAGGCCCAGAATAACAAGCCCTCCAGGGACAACTTCTCAACCTCAAAGTTTCCAAAACCCTCTTCCAAACCAAACTCTAAGATGGCAAAAAATGAATAAGCAGTGTCACCCATGCTGCAATGACAACTCTTAATACACCTAAAGTCCAGCAATCATTGAATCTATTCTTTCTTCTTTCTGTCCAAATCTCTACGCCTGCTGGAGACACGCTGATTCTCGCTCTTATAGATTCCAAAGTTCAGACGAGTTTTATTAGTGATTTCAACATTAGAGCGCTCCACGCACAATTGAATGATTTCGACGGCCACCAAACACTGTCATTTGGAACTATCAAACTGGCAGTAGAAGTCTCAGATAGCAAGGAATCTACTGTCAGAGAATCTCATTCATTTCATGTTGTTAAACTTTCAGACTATGACATGATATTAGAATTTCCCTGACTCAAACAACTCAACCCCCTTATTGATTAGAAGGATGGAGAATTCTATTTAAATAAAAAATCAAGCAATCAAGGGATAAACCCGATCGCTGCAGATGCTACTAATGAATTACTCACTGGCGCCTCTGGCTACGTACTTACACTAGTACTCGCCTCCACTCCACCGGCTTCCGGGCCTCTTACCGGAACCTCCGGGCCTAGGTCTCCGTACCAGCCTCCGGGCTTGCCCCCGAAGCTTCCGCGCTATTAGGGGACAGCGTACTCGCAAATACAGCTTCCATCGATGGTCTGCTTGCCCTGTAGCGCATTCGTACTTCCAGATGCGAATTGACTCTGTCGGCTCCGTCACTTTGGACCGATCGTACATCCCGGCCACCCCCCGGATCCTTTGAAACCTCAACTGCTGATCTGATGATAATCTGGTGATCCGCCTGGCACTTAGCAAGTTGGAGCTTGCTAGGGAGCAAGAGAAACCAAGAGCTCTAGAACTAGATATTCCAACTAGAACACCTTCGCGCGGCGGCCCGTACTGCCGCTGACAATACCTCTACTACTGCCAATCCCCCCATGGCTCCGCCAGGAATGCTGGGATTGGTGCTGTATTTGAACATGTCCTTTACAACCCGGATAGTGATGTCGGCAGGGCAATTGCTCAATTCAAAAGGGACACAAAGAGCATTAATAAACCAAACATGCCAACTGGCACTGCCAAATACTTGACCTGGAAGTCCTCAATGAAGTCTAGGCTTGTGGATGCCCAGTGCTGGGTCCTAATAGAGAGGGGGCAAACTCAGAGTCCATCTGACAACTCTCAATGGACACCCTTCTGGGAAGCAAAGAACTGATGGGCCTACGCCTTTCTATCCAGCTCCCTTAGTTCCTCTGTCTTTTAAAGACTGATGAGATCCGCATGGCCTACTCCCTTTGGCATGCAATTGAGGAGGAATATTCAATTCCAAAGACCCAGCTTCAACGAGAAGCTTATCTGGCCTTTGTGGCACTTGCCAACTCAAGGACATATGATATACACCTTTTCTTTGACAAATTCTGTACGACTCTTGATGACTTGAAGACACTCGAAGCCTTTCCCCCCGAAGATCTGATATTTCATATCTTTTACTCAGCCCTACCCACCACTTGGCGGAACTATGTTTAGAAGAAGATTGAGGAGGTTCAGGCCTCTAAATCTACATCTGTAATACTAGATGTGGTTCCAATCATGGAAGAAATTCGATCTCGAGTTGGCCCTTCAAAGAATAAGAAAAAGGATGTACTTCTTTCTATTCAGGCCAATGCTGCCAATCCGTTCCGTTCAGAATCCCATTCCAACACCCAGCCCGGCGCCTACCGTGGTCGTGATCTCGGGGACCTACCTGCCTGCCCGGTATGCAATGCTCGGCGTCATGGAATCTGCTGGCTAGCCCACCGGCACAAAGCCCTGGAGGATTGGCTGAAGAATAACGCCAATAAAATAAAGGATTTCAACAAGAAAAAGGATAGAGGTAAGGGCAAGGGCAACAGTGGGGGCAAGGCAGCTGGCAATCCTGCTGTCAAGTCTTCTGTTACAGATGATGACAATTCCTTTCAAACTGCGAGTCTTGCAGAGATCATAACAATCCCTGCATGCTTTGTGGAACCTCACACCAATAACCTCACTATATGGGATAGTGGCGCTGGATGCCACATTGGCCATGACAGGGCCCAAGACGCTATCCTTTTGTGCTACTTGTGTCAAGGCACTCCAGCGCCGTGCTGTCTACAAGAACTCTCCCCTACGCCTTGCCACCCGTAAGGCTTTGAAGATTTGGGTGGATATATTTGGTGGGGGTGAAACTCTAGGCACCCCTGGTGCAGACAGCACATCTTATGCTGGCAAGAAACTAGCAATGGTTATTACAGATGATGCCACAAGAATGAGGTGGATATTCGTACTGGAAGCAAAGGATGAAGCCTTAAAATACATCCGGATATTCAACCAATTCATTAAGAACCTTCTTGGACTTGGGAGGTGCGATAATCCACTTAGACCGAGGAGAATTAAATTTTAAAGCTACTTCTCACTATATGCTTAGTGAAGGCATTAATTGGAGCCTACCCCCCCTTATACTCCCTAATACAAGATGGTGTTTCCGAACGCTCTGTGGGCCTAATTATTGAAAAGGCCCAATCTCTACTATTAGATTCTTCTGCCCCAGATAAGATGTGGGGTGAAGCAGTCATCGCAGCTACAGAGCTTTTAAATCTTATGCCGACTTCTACTACTCTTTATAACCGCTCTGAAAACCCGGTTCCGAAGTCAACTACCCCGTACGAAGCCTGGCTCGGGCCATTACTGTCAGCCCGTGGAATACGACACTGAGGCTGTAAGGCTTACTTAAAGATAGTTGCCAGACCTGACAATAAGATGGCTTCTCGCTCGCAGGAGCTAATATTTGTAGGCTATGATGGTTTTACCCACTATCGATTAGTCAATCCCTTCAATGGTCGATTATATCCTAAAGGCGTTGTCTTCAAAGAGGATCTTCATCTGGCAGATCTTTCTGCCTCTACTACTGGAATCACTAAATCCTTACCTGCTGTTGCCCTTCAAGCTGCTACAGCTTCAGTCATCCCAGGATACACCCTTGGGGCGGACAGCTCCGGCCCTCTATAGAATCTGACGGCTCTGGCTCCTCTACTGGGCGTTTGTTCCCATCTAACTGCCCCATATTTCTGGAACCAACTAATAACTGGTGGATTGACTACGAACTTACAACCAGGATTCCAACCTTTGTGACCCAGAATATACCTGAGGCCACAAAAAATCTAGTGAGTGATGATAACTCCGTTATCATTACTCTGAACCCTAAGACTCCCTCTGAGAATCCAACTTCAGTGGGGAGATCATTGGCAACTGGATCCCTACTCTTTGATCTAAATCCTTCGAAACTCCCGGTCCCCCGCAACCTTTCACAGGCCCGGGCCTCGCTCGAATGGAAGTGGTATGTATCATCATGCCTGTCTAGAGGAGGTTAATTGCTTAAAACACATTGGGGCCTTGCGGCTAGTTGAACGCACCCCTGGCATGCCTGTTATCCGTGGCCAGTGGGTATTTGATAAGAAGGTTAACAATGCTGGCCAAATCATCCGTTATAAGGCCCGTTGGGTAGTCTGTGGCAACTTTCAACAGAAGGGTGTCAACTTCTCCAAGACCTACGCCCCGGTGGTATCTGCTACCACCTCCCAAGCCCTAATGGCTATATCGGCATCCTGTGGCTGGCATATTCTGCAGCTAGACATGATCATGGCATTCTTGAATGCCCAGCTGCTACGGGATGAACGTGTCTTCTATATGTCCCAGCCTACAGGGTTTAGAGAAGGTCGAGGAGGCTTGGTCTGTGAGTTAATGCAAGGATTCTATGGCCTCAAACAAGCAGCCCTTTTATGGTATGAAGAGCTGCGAAAAATGCTCATTTCTTCAGGCTTCCATGTCAGTCCCTATGATGCTGGTTTCTTTATCCATGAATCACGGAAAGTATATATTACTGCCTACGTGGATGATATTCGACCTTACAGGCCGAAAATTGGAGATTTGAATTGGGCTAGGTCTGAGATTGCGGCCCGTTTTGAGATTAAGGATGTAGAGGATTCTAACCGATACTTGGGAATGATGATAACAAGGAACTCCAATTCTCTCACTATTTCTCAGCCTCTTTTTGTCAAGAATCTGCTAGAAGTATTGTCTATGGAGGACTGTCATCCAACCTCCACTCCAATGGAGGAAATTATTGATTTTTGGGGAGATGATGAAGAACCGGTGACATACACTAGGGAATTCACACTACGTACCTACCAATCTGGCATTGGATCCAATACCTGGCTGCCAATACACGCCATGATGTTAGCTTTGCTGCAGGATTCCTTGGGCGTTTCAGCTCCCGTCCGACATTGAAGAATTGGACTGCCTTTAAACGAGCCCTTCGCTACCTCCAGGGCACTCCTGACATTGGTGTCACCTACTATAGGTGCTCTGATATAGAGCCCGTGGCCTATGCCGATGCCAATTGGGCAGGCAGAAACCCAGGATCCCGATTCACTACTGGCTATATCATCTACATGGCCCGTGGCCCTGTTGCCTGGAGAAGCTGTAAGCAAACCGACGTCTCTAGGTCTTCTACAAAGCCCGAATATATCTCATCCTCAGAGGCTGTCTACGAGCTTGTCCACCTCTGAGAACTCCTTGCAGATGCCGGATTCCTTCCATCCCAGCTTAATGAACTAGACACTACTGATGGGCCGTCCCACCTCCATCTAACCCCCTCACGTCCACCATCCATTCTGACAAGTCCGCAATAGAGCTCTCTTCTAGTGAGGCTATGCCACGCCGTTCAAAACATATAGAGGTTCGCTTCCACTCCCTTCGGGACCTTGTTCGCAAGAATAAGATCATCTTACACTACATGCCATCTGCAGAGAACATGGCAGATGGCCTCATCAAGCCATTGGGGCTATCACTGTCTTGCTTTTCCAGTTGATTTTGTGCCTGTACTTGGCAGTAGGCCTATTATTGTATATAGTATCGAGTACTCGGCCGTCCAGCATCACATATCTCTACTCCTACTATGGGGGTCAGACCCTTCTATCACGTGACTTATTTTCCACCTGAACAGTTAGTCGTAGCTGTAGCGGCGCCCGCCTGGGTGGCGTTGCCCTAGCGACCGCCCCGCCCACACGTAATCGCTTGTATGTAATATAGCAATAACCTAGCCTAGCTCCTCCGAATAGAAGGTTCAACAGTTACCACAGTAGCAACCTTAGCAATCAACCAAGCTTGCCAACTCTGTCAGATAGTGTACAGAAGGGTCAGTGATTCATTCTCAATATATATCAGAGTCCCTGGAAACGTATACAAACCTCTATCTAATCATTTGTATCCTTGATCACATAGATTCTTCTTCAGTACTTAAGGCATAAGTTCATTTGCTTCCTTATCTAGTCAAGCCTACCCATTCAGCTTCCCATCAACCAACCTACATGACGGCGAACTGTTGACTCCCCGTCTCGGCGTCGTCTCCTTACACACTCATGGAGTAAAATCCGAGTCATTCCTTGCAGGAACTCTGACTAAATTGAAAAGCCTCATTTATTTGCATCTAGCAGGTGCTTTGTAAGAACTTCCTCTTCAAGGACCGTCAAACAATGTCTATTGACGCGTGTTTCCGTACGTGGTTTGACACAGCAGGATGTAGATGAGTCGACTTCACCTAAAAGGCTTGGATCACCTCGCCATGTGACCTGACCTTCATCCTAGCCAGAACAGACCTCCCACAATACACTGTAAATCATTTACCAACTACTATATGAAGAGAAATCATTATGGGTAATGTTTTTACCACCTGACCTCTCTTTATAGTTCACGGTCGCGGTCGGCCAAGCCTTTTCGCGAGGTCGACCAATCTGTATGCTCTGTTCGCTGGCTGTTGGGTGGTTCAGTAACTAACGAATCGTGCCGCTGCGCAACCCACACCTTCGTGTGGGTGCGCAGCACCAAAATGATAAAAACACCAAAATGATAAAAATCTTGCAATTTCATCATCTTCATAATCTTCATCAATTAATAACTCACCACAATGTCAAATAAGGATAAAAATATCGAAGACCGTATTCAAAAAGCTGTCGCTTACCACCAAAAAAAAAAAAACCAAATTCCAAAATACTGCCTCTGTCACGAGAATTTGAGGTTCCTTATCAACGTCTCCGAGCGCGTATCAATGGAAGGAATCCGAATACTGCAAAGATTCCAGTTAACAAGAGATTAAATGAGAGTCAGGAGGATGCAATTAAACGATGGGTCAAGCTGCTTGATGAAAAGAATTGTCCTCCCACAGCCGAACAGATTGAAGATTTCGCAAATTCAATGCTCAGACGTCAGCACATAGATCCTACTACCTCTCCTTCAAAAGTCAGCAAGATGTGGACTTATAGGTTCATTGAACGCCTACCTGAGTATAAGAGGGTGAAACAGAAGTCAATGGATCCAAAGAGAGTGGCAGTTGAAGATATTGGATATATCAATACATGGTTTGAACGTCTCCGGATTCTATTTGAGCAGTATCAATTTCACGCCTGTGACACATACAACTTCGATGAGATTGGATTTCAAGAAGGACAAGGATGTGGAGAATGGGTTATAACTGCTTTTAAAGAAGCTAATTCCATCATTCCTTCATCCTTTTCAAGAGGTTTGATTACAGTCATTGAATGTGTATCCATGGATAATCATGTCATTCCGCCATTGATAATCTTGGCCTCCAAAACACACTTGGAGGATTGGTATACACAGACAGATTTGCCCAGCAATTATAGAATTGCTATATCAGATACTGGATTTACAAATGATGAGATTGGATTTGAATGGCTCAAACATTTCAATACTGCTACAGAAAAAGAGACAGAAAGGAAGTCATCGATTGCTTTTAATGGATAATCATGGATCTCATATCACTGAGGAGTTCATACAATACGCGGATCTTCATAAGATAATTCTATATGGATTTCCATCGCATGCCACTCATTTGCTACAACCTCTGGATAGTCTACCATTTCAGCAATATAAGCATTACCATTCAAAAGCAGTCAACTATGCCGCACGCCATGGTCTTGTTAAGTATGAAAAACGGCAGTTCCTACAAGACCTCTCAGCTATGCGAAAGCAGACCTTTAAACCCGTTACAATAGCTGCAGGATGGGCTCAACGTGGCATATATCCATGGAATCCCGACCGAGTTCTTGACACTCTTAAGCAGCGAATCTCATCACCTCCTCCAATGCAGATTTATGAAGATGAGAATGATTCAGATCACATACCTATTCTCTTCTTCTCAGCTATCCTCACCAAAGACAATCCAAAAGCTGAAACGCCATATTAATATTGCGGAAAACGCCATACAAAGTATTAGAGATACTCTTGATTTGAAATCACCCACCTTGACACGTCGTTTGAACAAGATATTCAAAGCAAGTCTAATCCACGCGGAACTTAATGAGCAACAGACCACTGAATTAGAGAACTTTCTCAACGCCAGTAAACACCGCAGAGCTAAAACAACCCGTCGCCAGGTTCAAGTAGGGGGAGTCCTCACTATTAAAGATGCCAATAGAAAAATCAAGCGGCGTAAGGATAATGAAGCTGAAAAAGAGCAGAATAAGGAGTGACGGAGGCTTGGAGTTGATCCCATGAAAATTGGCAATAACCCACTCACACCACTGACAGAAGAGGGATTAAATCGATCTGGGGATGGCACACATACTGAGAATGATGTAGATAATCTTTTTATTATAGATTAGCTACTGGTTGTTGATATAGAGTGCAATAATGAGGATGTGATTCAAGATGTGTTTTTATCGTTTCGGTGTTTTTATCATTTTGGTGGGGCGCACCCACACGAAGGTGTGGGTTGCGCAGCGGCACGATTAACTAGTAGTCGGTTGATTACGTAACTATGGATCTGGATGACAAAAGCCAAGCCCTAGCGGAGAAGCCGCAACGTTGCGAGAAAAACAACCTCGACATCTGAAATCATCTACGGTCCATCAACATACAGCAAGATTGCCGTTGAGCTCGTTGAACATCTGCCGTTGAATGCACCTGCATATGTATTTTGTCATTTGTTGAAATTCACCCTTTGAATTTCCAATAAATGTAATAGTCCGAAGATAGAATAGAAAACAGATTATCGCGATGGGTGCGGGCCAGTCCAAAGAGGTCGCTGCGGCAGCGGTTGAACAGGAGAAACGGGAGATTGAGGAGCGGATGTTGGGAGTGAGGGTGGCCGTGAAGGGCCAGGTGGAACCGCTCGATGAGGGCTATGTGTGTGTCGCAGAGGAGCTACGTGAGGATATATCCATTGTTTTATCATATCAAGCTGGCTCTCCGGCTCCTCCATTTATGCAGGTAATGGATGGCTGGCTCATTGTCTTTATGAAAAATATAGCTCCGGCATACTCTCCACCGAGACGGAATATTTCTCTATCGATATCAGACACCAAGCGGTGGGAGAAAATGTTGCTTGCGGATTCTAAGGTATTTTGAAGATACTCTGTACATGGATGCTCATTATTGATGGTTATATCTATTAATATTGCGGACAACATAGAACCGTCTCGCTTTATCCGCGCTGTCCGCCAATTCCCCAACGACCATCATAGCAAACCATGCTGCTGAAATAGCAGATACCCAGGTCTTCAATATCAAGATACCGCTCGAGGGTGCACCAATCACAAACCAGCGATCATCGGGCCGCTGCTGGCTGTTCGCGATGACAAACGTGTTCCGCGTAGCTCTTATGAAATTGTATAATATGAAGAACTTCGAGCTGAGTCAGGCGTATCCGTTCTTCTGGGATAAAATGGAGAAGGCAAATTGGTTCCTGGAACAGGTTATCGACACGGCTGAGAAGGAGTTGGATAGTAGGCTAGTTCAGAGCCTAATGTCGGGCCCGGTGTCAGACGGCGGCCAATGGGATATGGCTGCGAATTTGGTAAGGAAGTATGGACTGGTAAGTCATTGGAATCCCTTCGAAACTGGGCATATTTATGAGAATATTAATTTGATATTTCCAGGTTCCACACGGATTGTATCCGGACACATATAATGCAAAAAATACCTCGTTCATGGACAAGCTAGTTACCACCAAGCTGCGCGAGGACGCTATAATCCTGCGTCAGATGGCAACGAGCGATGACCCAGCTGTCCGGGCATCTATCAGTGACGCGAAGAACAAGTTTCTGCAGGAGATTCACTCTATCCTGACGATTCTGCTTGGCCCACCGCCATCCCCTAGAGAGAAATTCGATTGGGAGTACTACGACTCAGAGGGAAAATTCCATAAACTGTCAATGACTCCATTAGAATTTGCGAATAGCCTTTCGAGCCGTGAGGGTGTGAGGGCATGTCAGGGGACGAACGTGAATGAGCTTTTCAGTCTGGTGAATGACCCGAGAAACGACTATCAACAGCTTCTTACTGTGGACCGATTGGGGAATGTCGTTGGCGGTCAGCCGGTTACTTATGTTAATGTTGATATGGATGTAAGTCTACCTTTTATACCTTTATTCCCTTTTTTTAATATTTTTTATCCGTGGCCCGTGTGTGTCCAGAGGTGCTTACGCGTGACTTTAGACAATGAAACAAAGCGTAATTGCCATGCTGAAAGCCGGAATCCCTGTATTCTTCGGCAGTGACGTTGGGAAATACTCCAACTCAACCTCTGGGATTATGGACACCTCCTTATACGACTACGCTCTCGGCTTCAACGTCAACCTGGGCATGAGTAAAGCCGATCGACTGCAAATGGGAGAATCATCTATGACTCACGCCATGGTCCTGACTGCTGTTCACATTGGGGACGACGGGAAACCCGTGCGCTGGCGTGTAGAGAATTCATGGGGTGAGACTAGTGGCGACAAGGGCTGGTTCGTCATGACCGATAAGTGGATGGATGAGTTTGTGTATCAAGCTGTTGTTGATCCGCAGTTAGTTAGTCGGGATATCAGGGAGGTTTTGAAGCAGAAGCCGAAGAAGCTGCCGCTGTGGGATCCTATGGGGGCGTTAGCTTGATTGAGAGTTGACTACACAACCAAGAGCGTGAGTGCTGGATAGTTATTATGGGGGTTGTTTTCGGTGTTGAAATTTTTTATATTTTATGATACTGATGTGATTGATTGATGGACGTCAATTAATCTTTGAAGTCCCATGTTACTGGAGGAAGTTTACGTTTTCTGGTGAGTGGAAGTGTTGTCAGAGACTCAAGAGGCAAAGCTGACATGTAGATCAATGCTTTTGACTTGGACTCGTGGGTTTGTTGGGCAGGGATCAATCTGCAAGCGACGCGCTATTAGGCTGTCATACATTCACCGCTGGTTAACTATATAGTTATACATCTCTGGCAATGTCATGGTAGATTACTATCAGAAAGAAGTAGATTCGCTGCTTCTACAAAATATCCTGAATAGACTGCTAAAATAATAATACCCTGGAATTTAATTCAGACATTGCAGCGTGGAAGTATATCCCTAGGAAGCTTACTTATTGGCCTTTGGTCACATGACTAGCAGCCGCCCAGTTGACTCATCATTTCGGTGAATTCACAACGTCATTCCCGAAGTGTCTCTCTTATTTAAAACGTGTCGACATATTACAACGTCAAAACCAAACCCTACGGCACCATCCACTAACTTATTGAGCTCCACCCGAAGTTCCCACCACGGTCTGACCATCTTTCTGAACCGAAGAAAGAGAACCCTGCTGCTACTGCTAGCCATTTCTAACTAACACCACTGGCGGAGTTCTCATAGTTAACGCGGGGGCCTGGATACACACCTCCGCTCAAGTACATACATGCCCAGGTAGCGAACTTCCCGAGTGCCTAGCTGCCTACCCAAGTATCTAGGTCCATACATTTCAAAAAAGTGGAGTATTTCAATTCAATTCACCTTCTTGTGTGTGTATCCCCTCAGCACTCCATTTTTCCGCCTCACAGCGGTGCACAAGGTAGCTGCGAGCTTCATGTTACCGAGCCGAGTCACGATGAGAAAGGGATCCTGATCTTCCAAGGACAATGAGCTGGTTCGGCTCGCAGCATATCTGTACCTCTACCCTGCTGGTCCAATATTCGCAGCTCCTCTCCAGCGTCATAACCTATATCAGCCTCTGTGGCGGCATCCACCGAAAGAAGCCTTGGTTTTAAAACGTGGTGCTGGAGAGGTATACCTGCAGTAACAATGGGGAAGCCTCCAGCTGTCGTTATTATTGCTAGGTCTGTTAACACCCATATTTATGTCATTAACCACCAGATATCTGCTCTTGCCCTCCTAGCATTTTTATGCATGACCTCCCTTTTTCTCTGACTGAGCTCTAGGCACGGAGCCCGACTGGATGCGGTGGACAACAAATGGCATTTAACATCCCCTACACCTTACGATCCTCCTTTGACTTACGGTGGTTGGAACCAAGCTCGGGCTCTCGGAATCCGGATTGGGAACATTTTACGAGCCAGAGAGGATCCTAGTCATTCATCGTCTAACTCCAACAAAAATAGCGGAGGGAAAGTCAACGCAGAGGCGGCTAGTGACTGCAGGCGTAGCCCATCAAACACACCTAGGCCGTCCCGAAAGCAGAAGGTCATTTTCCATACTTCACCTTTCCTCCGCTGCGTGCAAACAGCTATTGGGGTGGGTGCAGGAATGCGCCAAAGCAAGGGCTACTCCCCCTGCCGCAGTGTTCCCCATACTGCTAAACCCCACACATCACGTCCCGGTTCCCCTACCACACGAGATAGCGGCACCCACTACATTTCAACCATTTCGCAACCGATCGATAGCCCTTCTCCGTCATGCAAAGTTGCCGAACCTTCTGACATAACAGTCCAGAAATACAAGCTCCGACTCGATGCGTTTCTTGGAGAATGGCTCTCTCCAGACTACTTCGAGCACATTGCACCTCCTCCCAGCTCTGTAATGATGGTTGCTAGCGCCAAATCAGAACTCCTCCGCCGTGGAGAGCCTATTGAAACTGGGATCGAGGCTGACGGGAAGTCAATGTTTGGCCACTTTCCCGGCGGCTGGAGTAACCCATTTACTAGAAGCACATCCAGAGATTACAGCGATGATGGTGATAATGGAAAAGAAGATGATGGAGTTTTCAAAGGCATGGCATCCATGGGCTACACGCTCGCACAGAGGAACTGCCCAGGCAGCGTTAATAACGGAGTAAATGAGATGAACAAACCGGAGGGGCCTGGAATCTCCAAATTTAGAACAGATCTTCCTGTGGGCTATTCAGGATACATTCCCCCAATTGCCGTCTATGCTGTCTCACCATCGGACCCGATTCCTTCAGGTTACGTATCTCACGCTCGTGATTCCTGCATTGACGTAGATTACCAGTGGGACAGCATGCGCGAACCTCAGAACTGGGGCAAGGGGGGTGAATACGGTGAGGAATGGAGCTCGATGCACCGTAGATTCCGCAACGGTCTTCAGCACATGATCGACTGGTATAGATCTAACGACCCGGGGATAGGTGGGGCTTCGACTACTTCGCTTATTGGGGATGATGATGACGATGACATTGAGACTGTCTTAATTTTAATAACACATGGAGCTGGCTGTAACGCTCTTATCGGTGCACTAACAGGACAGCCAGTCCTCCTTGATGTTGGTATGGCTTCACTTACGATGGCAGAGAGGAAAACTGATGCCACAGATTCATCTTGGGAAGAAACCCCTGCTTCCGCCGTCGTGCTACATCGGCCTCTGGACTCCAGGACAACAGAGTTGGCGGATGAATACAACATGAAACTGATTTCGTCAACTGAGCATCTCCGTACAGAGGCGAATTCCTCCCACGTCTCTCACACATCGTCAGCAAGAATCCTCCCAACCCCAATCTCTTCCTATCGTCATCGTTTCAGTCCGACCTCTGATTTCACCAGCTCGCAGGAGAGCTTTAGCCTCGGAGAGTCAATGGGCCAAAAACCAAGCAATTCAAGGATATTAGCCCCAAACTACTCTGTCGGGGCTTCGGCAAACAGGCCACCATCGGGCCTCTGGGGTTCCGTCCAAATTTCGGGCAACAATTCAGAATCTGCTGACGATTTGGTTCCCAACTTTGAGGACCCAAAACCTAGTTCAGCAGACAGCAGTGGTGCAATGGAGACGGATTATCAGCTACCACACCTCCCCGCGAGATCGCGATCACAACGTGGTCTGTGGGGTTGCACCTCGCTGCAGGAGCGTGAACAGCTTAGCAAGCGACGCTGGACTATGAGTGAGAGCAATCCTTAAGTTGGATTATTTTTCATTTTTAATTTTATATAGATTTCCTTCTTTTTTAAGGCGAATAAACCCAATCTCAACTTATCTTCCCTTTCCTTGGATTTATTTTGGCATTGCGAACTTCTACTTGGGCTAATTATACCTGGTTTACTTGTGAATCCGCGTTCTCGGTTTTGAAATAATATCAAGCACTACAAAGGTCCATCATTCCGATTTTCCTTTACACTGACTGAACTCCCTTCTCTTTATAACATAACTCTTCTGTTCCCCTCCCTTTCCCCTTTGGTACCAACTTCAAACAGATGTTATATTATTCCGTGGGCCGTTTGCCATTTTCCTTTAACGAGGCTTTTTTTAACTTTCTTTTCTTTGACCGATGGGAGTTCGATATCCACCTGGTCCTGGTTCAGGAAGTTTCTGACGCGTCTTTGGACATTATCAGGGTAGTAAATGATCCGGTGACTCTTATGTTTACAACATAATCTGGCCATGAGGCAAAGATAACTGTTAGGGGTGAGATTCTGCCAGAAATCAAACCAAGCCTGACAATAAATGCGACTGAAGTTCTACGAACTTTCAATTATTTGAAGAGTTCAGGAATCGACAGGGCACCTACGAGCAAATGTGAAAATATGAATTCTCCAAGTTATACTTTCATGAACGAGTGCATAAAACCCGAATTTTCGACTTCCCTGGAGTGGCATTAGCCCAAATATATAATCTCAGGCCCCCTTAAAGCGCCATCTATCTATGTACTCCGGAGTAGAAACTGTATGTCTAGTAATTATTACCGAACAGCCATTGCAACAGCCATTCAGCAGGGTGACAGCCTTACTGTCCAAACTTGAAACCGACTGACGTGTCGTATATATAACAAGGTTCGTCCGTAGTTACAGATAGCAATACCAGGTAGTTGCCACGCAAAACTCGATAAATCTCCCCGGAAGAATTATATATATACATGGGTAGTTAATAGATAGACAAATAAAGATATCACTGCAACACACACCATGGAGCCCACCGAGGAGGCCGGGCTCTCCACCACCTACGACTGTGGACGAACTGGCCCACCAGATCTCCGCCTACTGCATTACAACGATGTCTACCACGTCGAGTGAGAGCAATTCCCCCCAGTCAAGAAGCTATTTGGCTGCAACATAAGGAACTAACCAGCTACCGTCTCCTTAAATTAGAGCTGGCTCGGCAGACCCCGTCGGCGGTGTCTCCCGTTTCCAAACCCTCGTCAACTACTACCGCCATCACCCAAGATTTGCCAACCAGCCGCCGCTGTTGGCATTCTTCTCGGGCGATGCTTTCAATCCCAGTCTCGAAAGTTCCGTCACGAAGGGCCGCCATATGGTGCCGTTCCTTAACCAGATTGGCACGGATGTTGCGTGTGTCGGGGTGAGAAAAATGAGCCTATTTAACCGTCCTTTGTTAAAACCTGGGGGCTCGGAAGATAGTAGCTACGGGATACAAAGAACTAATGTCATATATTCGTTCGACAGAACCACGATTTAGATTTTGGCATCGATCAATTCCGGCACCTGAGAAGCCAGTGCAAGTTTCCATGGCTGCTGGCTAATGTCCTGGACCCCGCTTTGGGTGAAGGGGTGCCGTTGGCCAACTGTGCGGCGACACACATGTTGGAGTCTAACGGAGTCAAGGTTGGGGTTATTGGCTTTGGGGAGAGGGAATGGTAAGGGACACATTATATTGATGATAATTACTGTTGTTTGCTCTCTTCTCTTTCTTTCTGTTATTCTCCTGCTTTTGAGCACAGGCATTGTCCATTGATATATGTATTAATAACTATCCACTATCCAGGCTCGATACCGTTAACGTTCTTCCACCAGTCGTGTACAAGTCCGCGACCGCAACAGCAAATGAAGTAGTCCCCGTCCTACGTGAGCAGGGTGCTGAACTTATTGTGGCCGTGACCCATCAGCGGGAACCGAATGATAACAAGTTGGCTCAAAATACCCCACCTGGTCTCATCGATATCGTTCTAGGAGGTCACGACCACTTCTACGAACACAGTGTTATTAATTCTACGCATGTGCTCCGCTCCGGCACGGACTTTAAGCAGCTAAGCTACATTGAAGCGTGGCGAAAGACGGATGGCAGTGGTTGGGATTATTCAATCACGCGCCGCGATGTCGTTCGAACAATTCCCGAAGATCCGGCAACAGTGGAGCTGGTAGCGAAACTGACCTCGGCGTTGAAATCAAAGCTGCAGAAGCCTATTGGTTATACTGCTAATCCACTGGACGCGCGGTTTACGACGGTACGGAGAAATGAATCAAACATCGGTAATTTTGTATGTGATCTGATGCGCTGTCATCATAGTGCAGATTGCTCAATCATGGCTTCGGGCACTATTCGCGGAGATCAGATATACCCCCCAGGAGCTATCAGGGTGAAGGATATCCTCAATTGCTTTCCCTTTGAGGATCCGGTGGTTGTCCTGCGGATTAAAGGTCGGGCACTGAGGGCTGCTTTGGAAAATGGCGTCTCTCAACTACCCGCTTTAGAAGGTCGCTTCCCACAGGTGTCAAACATCCAGTATGGATATTCTGTTTCAGCACCGCCGGGATCCCGTATTGCCTTCGTCAAAGTGGGCGGTAAGGATGTTGAAGACGAGAAACTCTATAAAGTCGCTACGAGGGGCTACATGTCGCGAGGTAAAGATGGATATACGTCACTTCTTGTGCAGTCTGAGGGTGGAGAGGCTGAGGAGATTGTGTCTGAGGAGATGGGTATGCTGATCAGTACGATGCTGCGGCAGTACTTCCTTAGTTTGAAAGTTCTAGGAAAATGGCACCGATTAAGTCCAAGTATGCATCGACATTGGGACGAAGTGAATGAGCGCTGGCATGGACGTGGCTGGATGGAGGCTACCTCCCCTTTGGCTTCTCCTTTTGAGCAACCCAGCAAGTCAATTCTCGACTCCAGTTTCCACTACATGAGCCCCAATCCACGACACAAGCGCCAACTTGACAAAGAAAACGAACCGACCAAAAACCGGCTAGATGGCAACGACTGCGATAGCTGGGGTAGCAGCGAAAGCGTCATGGATTCCGAATCGGACTCGGAGCCCGAGTTACTCACCCGGCCACGCAACTATGTAACCACTACAGCTCGTTCGGTTGAGGACGCAGATCACAGGGAGATACAGGCGCGGCACTTTGTGAGGAAATGGCGACAGAAGGCCGGTCTTGACGCCGATAGAGTACAGTTAGCTGATCATAGTGGGAACGAGTTCTCACCAACCTGGACGCGAGCGATTGCACCAGTAGTGGAAGGGAGGATTGTTCAAATTGACAAGGTGGCTGATCAGTGAGGTTCGACAATCAATCGTTTTCGATGCGGAGCAGCTACTGGCGCCAGAACCCCTTAGGAAAGCGTTGGATAAGGATATCCCAATGGAATAAAAGAAAACTAGGGAGAGAAAGGAACGAGTCTCCATGAATCATAAATGGCCCGGGAGGTATAACTACTGGATATTGGTAAAGATAGGGCTCCCCAAATCCAAGGCTGGAGGATGACTTTGGTAGCAAAATAAACGATATACCCATAAGTAACATAGTTACCGAGTAACAGACCTGTTTCAACTTGAAGCAATGTCGGATAACTACCTAGGCAGTTAGCTATGTCTACCAAACTTGATTTCTGCGGTCTGTGTGTTCCATTTCTCATAATCCATTCCAAATTCTCAAGCATTAAACCATCTTCAGGCTTCCTGTCTGTCTCCGGTAGTGAATCTCTCCCAGCTTGACAATGTACCCATGGATGAGCTATGTAGAGATTCAAAGGGACAAACATGGTTTCAGCTCTGATCCAACAAGGGGCTCATCCCCAGTGTCAGCCCCATATAGTTAACTAGTTAAAGAAACAAGTAAACGCAGTATTCGATTTGAAGCTTGTAGGTGACGGAGACTGGAGTACGGAATAATCCCGTAGTTAGTATGCCTTTTGAGTACGAAGATGTGACAGGAGCAAATAACTGTCCACTTGAGTCTCCGAGAAAACCCCCTTTGAGTGAAATACTAACAATGTGTGCGATTCGACAATGTCAGTCAATTGATTAATCAATGAAAAATGATGTAGCATTTGACCACGTGATGTGACCTTGATCACGTGAAATACGGTAAAACTTAGTGAATTTATAATAATCATAATCAAAATTCGAAAGATAAAAAATACGACTCCACATCTTTGGTACCTCCCTCTCACCTTGAAAGGATTATCCATTTCACTATTCTGTTTGTATTGCTAGTAACTGGAAGTGGGCTATCCGCCTGCTGTCGAACTACCATGGCCGTTGAACAGGAGACGCAATCTACCCCGGCGCAGGTATCGTTCGCCAGTACTCTGGAATCTCTCACAACCATCATTTTCAACGCCCAGGAGTCTTTGCCATCCTCCCAGCCGCATGATGATGTCTCAGGGGGTAATAGGTCAATACTACCGCCTCCTGATGGCGTATCACTTTTCGATACGAAGAATGAAATATTCGTTTCATATCTGCAGAATCTAGTCTTTCTGATGCTTCTGCGGTTACGACATTTATGCAATGGATCCTCCGATACGCGAAACGGTGTTGGGACTGATGACGATGGACCTATTCACAAAAATGTTTTGAAACGAATGACGGAGCTTCGAATATATCTGGAGCGTGGTGTACGACCACTAGAAGGTCGCCTGAAATATCAGGTAGATAAGGTTCTCAAAGCAGCAGACGATGCGACAAGGAAACAACAAGCTACAACATCCACGGGAAAACAATCAACCAAAGGAAGTAAAAAGGAAGGAAAGAGAACTTATGGAAGCGGAAGCGAGGACGGATCGGGAAGCGAATCGGGCTATTCTGAGGACAACTGCAGAGAACACAGCGATATTGATGAATTGACATATCGACCTAACCTAGCAACGTTCTCACGGGTAACCCAGGATAAATTGAAACCGAAATTAGCGGATAGCAAGGATGCTGGTGATGGAATCTATCGTCCACCAAAGATAAAGCCTACAGCGCTCCCAACCACGACGGATAATCATGAGAAGAAACGTGGACGGCGCACCGCTAAATCCGCCGTTATTGACGAGTTTGTGGCGGCTGAAATGTCCAGCGCTCCCACTGTCGAGCCTAGTATTGGCACAACGATAAGGGCTGGAGGAAGATCAGTGCGGTCCGAGAAGGAGAGGGCGCAGGAACTCGAACGAAGAGAGTATGAAGAGGGTAACTTTGTTCGCCTGCCTAAGGAAAGTAAGAAGGAACGGGCGAAGCGGGGACTCAATCGCCCAGGTGGTTATGGGGGAGAGGACTGGAGGAGCTTGGGAGAGGGCGCTGATAGGATCGGGAGACTTACCCGACGCGGTACAGGAGGTGGTTCCGGAAGTGCTTTGGAGAAAAGCCGTAAGAGACGTGTTACCGAAGATGGCCCACGTGGCGATGGAGTGAATGTAGGCGAGAGCTTCGAGAAGCGCCGGAAGAAAATAGGAACATGGAAGCGGTAACCAATGGTTTATGCGGTTGCCTACCGAGGTATGCCGCTCAATTGCAATCATGGCATAAATATATATATTCTCCACCTCTGGACCAATCCAATAAAATTGGATTTTCATCCTCCCACCGAAGGCCACCCTCGCTCTAGGAAATTGCTTTCCACATCCGAGAATGCGGATGTGTGAATACCTTAAATTATACAGTCCAAAGCAACATGTTCTTGATCTTGAGATGACAACCACGATAGCTCTCATCCCTTCCTCTGTGCTTCAGGGTTCCTGTGGGTGGTGACAGAGGTAATATCCCAGAAATATGTTTCGATCCGATTAGAGTCCCTGCAGCATTTTAATGGGTATGTTATCGCATAAAAGAGGTTGAGACATTCATACCTGTCTGTACCTCTTTAATAAATTGCAATATCCGACATCGAATTTTTTATATATTTTGCTTCTGGTGAAAAAAAAAAAAGGATATGGATGTATTCTGAACTCCTTTTTGGATTTCGATATTTCACTCTTCTGAAGTCGATTGACTGATGTATCAATTTCTCCCTTCGTCAACGTGTTACAGATGTTCTGCATATTTATAATACCATTTTACAAAGCCCGTGCAAGGCTCACTGTCGTCTTCACTCTCACCTCTGTGACTAAGTACTTCACAGACACAGCCACCGACAGAGCTGCAGACACCAACACACACCGACATACAAGCACCTGAAGCCGACCCCTTCCATTCCTCATCATGGGTGAGTGCTTCATATCCCCCCAAAGCTTACTGCCCGCTCCAACGAGACATCAGAAGTGATAGAAGAGGGGGAATATCCCTTTGTCCATCTGTGAAGAGCTGTTCGCTATCTTGAAGTAGGCCTCTATTGGTTTAGTTATACGATCCGTAAAAGAGTTAGCAGTTGGCTCAGTTGATAGAGCTGAGCCTAAATATAGTTACCAAATATACATATTTGCATAATTGAGTTTTTAATGGAATCGAAACCCGAAATATAAGTAAGTATACGCCCTGTATACCAGTGATATCACGTTCTCGTTCTGTTTGTTCAACTTCTTTTCAAGCTTGATTAAAGGACAATTATTTACCATTAGCATCGTTGCTATTCTGCTGCATTTCGATTATTTCCCCTAAAACTATTGTTGGGAAACAACATCGCCGTTGGCAAATAACCGAATTTCCATTGCGGCAACGCGAGAAACGCAGCCAATATAGAAGATATGTTAGACTGCATTTCTCTTCTGGTGCTCGACAACCTAACCTTCCTCAAGTGATGGTTACAGGGTATCACCTGGATGGAGCGACGTTAATGGATCACAGCGAGGCGATCACAAATGGTTTCTAATTTCTTGCTGTCAACTAGTTGGAGAAGAATAGAAGTATAGGATTCACACATCCAGCATCCCACCTGGACATCCATTCCACCCCTTTCACAATCCCACGAGCTAATTAATACATGGAGCTATTAGGATTCCTAAGCTACTGTAACATGCATGCTTGTGCTGCATGAAATGTAGTCTTCTTCGCTACAAGGGCTAACGAACGTAACATTCATGACGTGAGCGATACACGGAGTTATATTAGATATATCGAACGCTGCTTCGAACTGTGGGAAAGGGCAGATCGATGGAGCTGATTAGGATCTAACCGTGCTTAGCTGTGTATAGTGAATGCACATCAAGGGTTTTTTTTTTCCCTTTTCCTTATTCCTTTTTCTTCTTTACTAAGGAATTATTAGCTTTTCGGAGGTATCTTCAGCATCAACTATGTCTGAATATGAGCGTGCTGTTGAACCGAAAGGGGAATAGGGGAACAACCCTTCTTTTCAAATCACGACCTTGGAGACAACAAATCCTCACTCCAGCCCCGTCTACAGTTCTTTTAATTTCCATTTCACTGAGTACGGCTCATTCCAACCCCTCTTCCCCCACTCGATTGCTCTCATTCCTTATTCGCTATTCTCCATATGCAAAACATTTTATAGACGTCGGAATAAGATATGGCACTTGATTGGCGGAGAGGTCATCAATTCCCGGGTTGCTGAGCTGGAAGAGCCAATTGCCAGTGCAGTCCGGAGATCTGTTATATCAATCCCTCAGGCGGCGATACCATTAGGAAATTTTACATCGCAAGAGAGGATGGAAGCGAATCGGCAAAAAGAGAAACATACCCATAAATGCTGCAGTATGTGCCATATGGAATCTCAAGAGAGCCTGTTACTCCGGTACTTCGAGGGTGCGCGGAAGCGTCAGCAATCACAGAATAAATAGTAATTACTCAGCTCATTCCGACGAGGGATGAAGAGACATACAAGACAGAGTTGAAAGTATCACATTCGTCTTGTACGATAATGCCGTTAGCACCAGTTCGATTTACGCCGAAGAAATATAGTACCTAGATTGCTTTTCATTAGGCTATCGTATTTGGCAGTTTTATGGTACAGGGTAGTTCAGAAGTTCACTGCGCATCTATATTTTAGACTGGGGGTAAATCGGATAACACACCTCCCGTGTCGGCTGCTGTTTAGTCGCCGCTGCATTGCAGGAGGACACTGCGGCTAAAAAAACAGCTATGATCGGCACAATAACTGTCAAAAAGCGTGTCTTGTTTTGGTGATACATGCCGTAATTCTAAACCCTTTCAAATGGCTGGCTGTTAATGAGCTAATATCAATATCAGCTTGAGAACGAAAATTTAGGCGGAGGATTTCAGCACGTAAAGCATTGATCCTGATCCAATACCATTCTTTGTCGGTTGTACTTATATATGCCCATGGTTATCGCGAAGAGGCTTGGTTTGCTCTATCATAAACCACGCAGAACAAACTGTGTAGAAGTAGCAATTAAACTGTGGTTCCGGTGGTATTAAGATTAATCTGGGAAAAAGGTACCTCGCCTTTCCCCGTCAACTAGACACATTATTTAAGACAACATCAAGAGAGTAAACACTTTTCATTCAAATTCGATATCTCTGCATATTTGCTCAACCCAGCCTTAGGAAATTACAAATGAAACATAGACAAGAGAATGACAAATAAACAAAACTCAGATGCAATAAGCATTTGCTAATAATAAACAAGGTGTAGGTTTCCTGAAAGCCGTCCTTCATAAAGCAAAAGGATTCTAACTCTCCTTACCAAACTAACAACGCGCCACATATGACAATCGACGATATTATCCAGGCCACTCCACCTGCCGTAGCTATCAAACCCACGCCACCACCCGTTGAAGTAAATACCGTTGAAGTTGATCGAGACCCCGTCCCTTTAAGAGTAACTGGAGATGTTGTGATCCTTGACACAACTGTGGCAGGAGCCGTCGTTGCTACTGGTATGACAGAACCGCTGATTGTTATCGCAGCAGTTGTCGAAGCCGGAATGGTGCTAGGCCCCCGTCCGGTACCGGGAATGATGGTGGTGATGTATGTGGCTTCATCTCCCAGCTCACTGCCTGGAATAGCACTGCCCACGCCTTCGCTGGTCCAGGCCAAGGGAAGCTGCATTGTGCGGGTATTAGGTTTAGAGAATTCATCGCCATCGTAGATATTGCCCTTTTCGCCGTTTGAGCGCGTGTAGTCACCCGAGACCAAATCCACTATGCCGTTCGAGGAAGTGTTGTAGATCCCGGTCAAAATACTGCCATAGGACCCATCAACAAAGTAGAAGTTCGTGGTAAATTTATCCTGGTACGGTTAGGAATATCATTCCTAGTTGACGGAAGTTTTTCTGTTATCTTTAAATGCAGAGTATATACAGCACATACCCAGCAGAAAGAGGTCTTGTAACTCTTGAGAAGCCGACACTCCATTCCAGACTTGCCTATAGGACATTAGAACTTGGTTTTCCTTTCCGTTTCCTGTTTTTGTTCCAATATTGTCATAGGTTTTGGTTAGATTTCGAACATTGAAAAGTGACTTACAGCAAAGATCAGGCAACTCATCTCGTGGCACCGGATGTTCGCGATTAATTATTCCTCTTTTCCATGGATTTTGATCAACTGACTCAACCACACTAATGAAAAGGCGACGCATGTCCGGACCGATTGAAGGGGGAAACGCTGGAACGGCGCCCTCGGCAGCACATATTTCATACTCTGAGGCACAGTATTGACGGGGAAATACTTCTGAAGCTGACGAACTCCAAATGGCGCTTGCCAGTGGAATAAAAAGTAGAAACTGGCGCATTTTGCCGTCGTGTTTGGCTTTCTGGTATTCAAATATTCAAGATGTGTGAAATAGGAAAAGAACCAGATAGTTTGATGCTGTACTTTAGATGGTGATGCCGTATCTTTCTTGGTAGCGGGGAAATTTTGTCGTCAGGAGATGGTTGTTGGCGAGGAAACAATTGCGGCAAGCCGCAGAAAAGAAGAAAAGAAAATAACAAACGAACAGTGCCGGAGAGACAAAGTGAATTTGAAAGCCAGATAACTATAACAGTGACAGAAAATACAAAAAAGGAGAGGGGAAAATTACGTAGTATGAAAGTAAATAAATAAGTAGATAATCCAAAACTGTAGTAAATTTGGCAGGAATATGAATATGGGAAGTCTTTTTGTATGAGCAAAATAACAGGTTTTCTGACCAGTTGTTTATTTAGTAAAGCTAAAGGGTTTAAAGCTGATGAACGGCCGTGCGATTCCATACTCCGAAATTAACTCTACCCTCCCTCCTTCGGAGCCCCTGGAGTACTCCGAAGCATGGTGAGACATAATGTGAGCAAGAAGGAAAGCCAGATTCTTTATTCGCCAGTCGAGAGCTCCCACCAGAGGCAACAAAGGAGAGTATATCAGGATACCCCTCGCTCCAGAAGACCAATCAAATTATTTCACTCTTAATCTTCTGGAAGTTGAGCCTGGCTGGCTGTTTGTCTGTCTAATACGTGGCCATCCCACCTGCATCGCTGCAGGAGGCCATCGCTCAGCACCGATGGGGGCATGGATCTCTTTCGAATTGGAAGAAAGATGACACCACAGCAGCTCTACCCTCAAGAATGCAAGGTTCAACTGAAAAGAGGGGGCCAACTCTCCTGTTTCCTGGTGTTGTCGCCTTAATTACAGAAAGCATCTTTCGATGAAGTTCAATTTTCACAAGATAATGACATCACATGACTGCTGTTAAATCACGTGTTTCTTGAGCTCCATCCATAGTTTCACCTTCAATCAGTTTCAATCAAATCTCAGGCACGCGATTTTTATGGATCTTCTGACAAACTGCCGCGATATCTCACCAACTCGGAGTGTTTGTCAGTAACTAACGCCCTTATGTCTTGAAAGCAATACAATACTGTCGAAGCAGGGGGGGGTGGGTTGCCTTTTCTCGACGAAATACCTGCTTAAACTCGCTTTGAATCACCAACTCAATGGATTGCAAAGCTGCGCAAACTACAGCCATTCAAACCACCTAGTTACCACTTCGCCACGCATTTGCATGCCGACTAGGAAGGCCCACTATTGATCCCTGTTCCTGGGTGTGCTGCCATCCTCGTGAAGCGGTTCCAAGATGTGGGGTGCTCCATCGGGGGAAACTCCCGTGGTGGATAGTTTCATCTCAAGCATCGCAGACCTCGTCAGGAATCGGAATGGGGCTAAACTACAGGACTTCCTCCAGATTGAGCCTCCATTGCCGCCTGTATACCATGATATGATTGCTGAGATGCGGAGGCAATACCCGCAACATGGATATAACGATAACCAGCTTATTACGAAATGTGAATCTGTAATTCTAGCCACCGAATCCGGGAGCCCTTGGTCCGCTTTTCCCATATTTCTGCGGCAGTATTTTACTTTCCTTCGGGATGTCAATGTCGAAAACCTTTTGGATACCTACGATCTGCTAAAAGCACTATTGAAGTACGTATGAGCGCTGCTGCATTTTGCATATGCTATCCAGTTTCACCATCACTAACTATATATCCCCGAACTTTTATACAGTCAATGCGTCATAGCTCTCAGCGATAGTCAAATGGGCGTCATTGTCCTACCCACGGTTTTGTATCTCTCAAAAGTTCTTGCCAAGCTGGCTATTGGCTTAGATCGCCGACCGGAATTGGTCTCACACCTGATGAAGGAAGGGTCGGGTTCAGACGAGGCAACGGAAAAGGTAACGCTCGTGGAGAAATCGGCAAATGTTGTCCGGGAAGCTTTTATTAAATGTCTAACGGATAGAAGCGGTCTTGCTGGCTCACAAGGGAAACCAGAAGGCAAACGGGTTGGCATCTATTTGATGGCAAACTTGTGTCTAAAACTGTTATTCAAGGTAATGCATTAATCTCCTTCCATCCCCCCCCAAAATCCCCCCTCCCCCAAACAAATAAACCTTCCGGGAACTGAATTCTGCTAACCAGAGCCCAAACAGTGTGGCAAGCTTCGAAATGCTGAACAAATGTTTGCCAGTATCAATGCTCAATCACCTCCACTTGCCCATTTTCCTGCCTCACAGAGAGTAACCTACCTTTATTACCTGGGCAGGTACCTATTTTCGAACAATCTCTTCTTCCCTGCGCAAACTGCGTTGCAAGCCGCCTACAATCAGTGCCACAGGCAGGCACTTCAACAAAGACGTCTGATTTTGACGTACTTAATCCCGTGTAACATTATCCTTGGCCGCTTCCCATCGAAATACCTCCTTGAACGACCGGAATCCAAAGGATTTGATGATATCTTTCTCCCCATCTGTCGAATAATTGCCAGTGGCAATTTGGGGGCATTTCGATCATACCTAGATTTCAACTCCCCCCATGCAGAATGGTTTGCTCGTAAGGGAGTTTTGCTTCAGTTGCGTAATAGATGCGAAATTCTAGTGTGGCGTTCCCTTGCTAGGAAAGTGTTTATATTTTGCGGGTTTCATGGAGATCAAAAGGCCCAGGCACAAAGAGGGCCTCCACCATTTCTCTATCTTCACAAACTAGAGGCAGCGGTGAAGTGGATGGAATCACTCGGACCTAACTCAGCTTCGCAGTCGCTTTTCCCTATGAAACAACTGCCACGACCGTCACAGCAGCCCAACCAACCCAACCGACCGCCAGGGAGCCGCCTATTCTCCTTTCCCCCGGATCGTGAATTTATAAACCCCAACACTGCCAGTGCGATGTCCCATACGTCTACCGATTATGATGACTATTTCCAACCGGAGGGTTATTTTGACCAAGACGGGCGATGGGTTCAAGTCGCATCACCTGATGATCTCCCCAGCGATGCCGTTGCCGACAGCCAAGACGCCGATAGTCTCGCCACTGATGCTCTAGCATATCTACCTCCTACAGAAGCTACTGAAGGTGAAAACCATGCAGGCGCCCCTTCGTTACTGATGCGCGATCTTGAATCGGTCCTCGCATCGCTACTTACACAAGATCTGATGCGCGGCTACCTAACACATAAGAACCCGCGATTCGCAATCCCGGGAGCGCGTGTGAAAGGTCTCCTCCCGACCGGATTTCCCAATGTATGGCAAACCATCCACGCCAAAGAAAGCGAGGATGACCAAGTTCCGGGCTGGGTAAAACCAGCGCTGAATCCGGGGTTCGGTCCGACGGCTAAGGGATTCGCACCCAGTCCTGCGGAAGGAATGGGTGGACGCGTTGTCAATCTGAGTGGAGCCAGGCCTGTAGGTTCTCTGGAGAGCTAGCATTCATATTCATTCTTAGAGTTCTACATATAATTTCTCTTTTGTTACTGGAGGAAGTATAGTTCAAAGGGGCGAGGCGTATTATGATGTTGGTGGATTATTTGTGAGGAGGGTTCTGCGCATCCATGTACATTAGTTTCATTAGATTCTTCAGACATTACCCATTCAAACTGTGGTCTAATTCATGTTTGATATCTCGATAGTATCTGCACTTCAAAGTTTCCAAGGTGTCTATTCTCGGTCTCCTTTTCTCCAATCACATAAGTAGAAAAAATCTAATTTAACTATATTATGCCCTAATATTTGAAGCGTTAGTCACGTGATCTATCCACGTAACTTGCCACGACTCTGCAACCTCCAGGATATAATAAGTTATATAACTCATCCAGGGCAACAACATTCCCATTCTACGGTCTAATCGGTTTCTTCTACTATTGATACCAGTGAAGCGACCGGCCTGGTGTTTTATGTGTATATTTCTATTCAACTATTACCTAGCACCCATGTTTCCGTGATCAATCCTCCGTGTTTGTCTAACATTCTGGCGAGCATACGGCCAAACAAGTAAATATAACACCAGCTATCCCAGAACTACCGCTGATCAATGCTGAACTAAGATTTATTCGCATCAGGCAGTTTCCCGAGATGTGGTGCTCCAGGAAACTGCAGCTGCTTGCCTCCGCCCTCCTCTTTTCTCCGCAATTTTCCTCTGCCTTCTATCTTCCTGGTGTGGCGCCCACGTCATACGACCAAGGCCAACTGGTTCCGCTTCATGTCAACCGTCTCACACCCACGATCTCCGAGCTCGATGAACACCTGCATTCCGTAATCCCGTTTGACTACTACTATGCTGCTTTCCACTTCTGCCAGCCCAAGGACGGTCCTAAAGATGTGCGGGAATCGCTCGGGAGCATCATATTCGGGGACCGCATCCATACATCACCCTTCGAGCTTCATATGGCCAAAAATGAGACTTGCAAGCCATTATGTTCCGATGTAGTATTTGACCCCAGAAGCAGCAAGTTCGTTAACCAATTGATATGGCAACAATATAATATTAACTGGTTGATCGACGGACTACCTGCCGCCCAAATTAACATTGACCAGCAAACTGAGACTGAATTCTACAGTCCCGGATTCCTCCTGGGCTCATTAGATGACGACGGGCAGCCCGTTCTCAATAATCACTATAACATTTTAATTGATTATCACCCTGTGACCGGGGTGGGGAAGGAAACCAAATACCGCGTGGTTGGTGTCCTTGTGCTCCCGGAGTCACGCAAGAACAACAAAATTAGAGACGGAAAAGCGGAATGTGACCCAGATGGACCATCTCTTGTTCTTAGCGAGGAAGATGAAACCACTATGGCTTGGACATATAGCGTGTTTTGGAGAGAATCACCTACGGTGTGGGCTACCCGTTGGGACAAATATCTCCATGTTTTTGATCCGAATGTCCACTGGTACTCGCTCATCTACTCGGCGATCTTCGTCGTCTTGCTTGTCGCTCTTGTGAGCACGATCTTGCTTCGCGCTTTGAAAAAGGACATTGCGAGGTATAACCGGTTAGATATGATCAACCTGGATGATTTGAATGACACCTCCGCTGTGGAGGACGGTATTCAGGAAGACTCAGGGTGGAAACTGGTCCACGGAGACGTCTTCCGCTGCCCAAAACATCACCTTCTTCTTAGTGTATTCCTGGGCAATGGCGTACAACTTCTCGTCATGACCGTCATCACAGTCTGTGAGTAATTTCCATGTTTTGTATACCCTATCTGGGGAGGATGTTTGTAATGCATGCGCTAACATTTTACAGTTTTTGCGTTATTGGGTTTACTCTCCCCTTCAAACCGTGGGTTCCTAGGCACGCTCATATTGATCCTGTATACCTTCCTTGGATTCATTGGGGGCTATGTCGCCGCAAGGGCGTACAAGTCGTTCGGCGGCGAAGCTTGGAAAAGGCTCATAGTTCTCACCCCTGTTCTGACCCCTGGAATTGCCTTTTCAACCTTTTTCTTCTTGAACTTGTTCGTCTGGTTCAAGGGGTCAAGTGGAGCTGTTCCATTCACAACTATGCTAGTCACTGTTTTGATATGGTTCGTCATCAGTGTGCCACTTAGCGTTGCAGGAAGTTGGGTCGGATTAAAGCAACCGGTATGCACCACGGCATCTCACATAATTATGTGTAGTTTGTTATTAATATATATCCATATAGGCTATCGAAGGCCCGACTAAAACCAACCAAATCCCTCGACAAATCCCTCCAGCCGTAGGCTCCTTACGGCCCATTCCATCGACCCTTATTACTGGCCTCCTCCCCTTTGCAGCTATTTTCGTCGAGCTCTACTTCATTATGCATTCGCTCTGGGCGAGTAAAATCTACTACATGTTCGGCTTTCTTTTCCTCTGCTATTGGCTCATGATCATTACATCTGCATCGACCACCATTCTACTCGTGTATTTCCTCCTATGCGCTGAGGACTACCGGTGGCACTGGCGGGCCTTTATTGGCTCAGGGATGACTGGAGGATATGTATTTTTGAATGCACTGATCTTCTGGGCTACCCGAGTGAGCTTCGGTGGATTAACGGGAGCGGTCCTGTATCTTGGATACTCAGCTCTCTTGGCATTCTTGGTTTTTGTTTTGACTGGTAAGTTGATCGTCTCCTTATCTCCCCCGGTTGACTCGGTCTCAAGCGGAGTCAAATCGCCATCTGAATTGTGTTTCGTTTTGTGTCAAATCCTGATTTTTACCTTACAATTTTAGGATCTATTGGCCTAATTGCAAGCTGGATGTTTGTCCAACGAATTTATCGATCTATCAAGGTTGATTAAGCATGCGACGAAACTTCAGTTTCTTGACTTCCTCAGGACACATTCATATACGAAATCAACGCATCTCATTATCTTTCCCCTCAAAAATGCATTGCGGTTACAGTGAAGACGGTGCTGATAATACGCCATTCGCATTTAGTAGATGAGAAAGTGGTGGATCTTATCAGATACCATTCAACACATGTTTGACTTTTGATTTTATACCACCTCGTTTGCCTTGGTTGTCGTGGCCCTAGCCATTGGTGTTGGCGGGCGCATTTGGAGTGGTTCTTTGTTCTCTGCGAAAGTGCTGGTACTTTCTGAAGTTCATAAATAATATATATATGCCCTTAAGCTGACCCGTGCTCCTCTCTAAATATATAGTTGCGCCTCCGACTCTTTGTTTGTCATCAATTCGGTGTGTCCTGTATGTTAACTTATGTATGCCCTAGTTCGGGTATCTTTTGATCCTCTCAATTTTGTTGTGGTTGGTTCTCGTCTTAATCTTAAAATAAATAATTTATGCATTGATTTCATGTTTTTGGCAACTATATTTTTTGCATTTTTCAATATTCTCCATTTCCTCTCTCCCCTTTACTCTGCTGTCAATGTGTACGGAGTATGCAAGTTTTGTTTTTGTATACGTATTTAGTTCATCGATGTTTTTCTTGCTTCCTGCCATTTTGATTCTTCTTAATTATATAGAACTGTTTTAAAAAAGAACAATATTCCCTTACAATTGGGGACTTAGGAAACCGTAATCATGATGTTGCATTTTACATTATAACCCCAAGTACCCACGATGCCGAAACACGAATCAAGCGATATAACCAGCTACTCAGAAAAATTATTTCTGAAAGAAACCCCATGAACCCGTCTAGTTGATCGATGATAATAATCCCAGCATCTTGACTTTCAGCTGGACTAGCTGAATGGCAAAGCTTGCAAAGAATAGAGCATTGCGGTGTTATCCCCTGTTGGCCTTGACCCTGAACGCAGGCCTTCCGCCGACGCCATATACTTCTGCCAGGCCTCGATTTTGATATTGTCATTCATGGACAGAGATTTGACAACGTTGGGTAATTGCTACCTTGTTAGTTTGTACTATAATTCGTAAATATGGGTAGTTACGGAGCAACTGACTTGACAGTTCTGCATGGCACCGGTGTAATTAGACGAGATCCAATAGGAGGGATCATGTAGTTTTACTAGTAACATCGGAAGTTCCAAGGCTGGCTAAGTTACGATTGAGCAACATCACACCTCCACACCTTCGAGGATAAAAAGTTGCAATGAGCCTTGGCTATGTAGGAGGGTCAGCATTGTTTCAATCCTTGGGTGGACACTTATGCGAGGCGGTATAGCAAGAAAAATATCTTCTGGAAGTGGATAGTTACTCTAGGGTTGACAATACCAAAGACGAGTATTTGCGCTCTCCCGGCTGCGAATCGCAGCCAGTTATACAGATACCACGTAGCTTAGGAACCGAAAAGCGCCAAAAGTAAAACAAAAACATTTCATTCAAAGCAGGTAACATGACCAAAATATAGACGAATAGCAAAATACAAATCCCCCTCTTGCGGGGCAAAATATGCAAGCTAGCTTTCTCTTTCGTAAATCATGCAACAAGGTGTGGCAAAGGGGAGGAAGAGAGAGACAGTAGGTAATAATCGAGTGGTTGCTGGGCATGGTGCGCGAGCTACATTGTTAAAAAAAAAAAAAAAAAAAAAAAAAAAAAAACCTCTTAGGGGGGGCAGGGGGGAGAGAAATAGGAGATTTGGTGTGGATCAAGAGAACATCAAGGACGCCAACTATGGCGAAAAGACACGTTGCAAGCTACCAGGTTCACATTAACATAGTGCAAAAAGAAAATCATAACGTAAAAGCAGACACCAGTGCATTTTCTAGTGGCAACCATTAATGAACACAGCCCACTTTCTGAGGAGCACAGGGACACAAAGTAGAACGAATAAAACCAGTGGTGGAAGATAGAAAACAGGTGTAAATAATTCAATCACAGATGCAGGCGCCCTCACTGGATGTCTGGGATATAGCGGCGCTGAAAATGGAAATATAGGCAGGAACGCAAAGAGAAGATTCAGGAGGGAGGGATACATAATTTCAGATCTCCCGGTTTTGGGAAAGGTTTGGAGGGGGAGGAGAGGTTGATTATTGTTTGCCGCAACTTTCATGACAGAGAAAGGAAACAAAGAAAATAGTGGGAAGTGTTAATATCATAGCATAATTAAAAACATGAAGTAACGGATGTCCATCCAGATATGGGAATAAATGGGGACAGGTCCCGAGTAATGTCTGGATGTGGACGACAAAAGCTGGGGTACTGAATGTAGCAACGGAGGGGGCGGTCGCATCAAGACTTCGAGGCAAGTATAGACATGGCTTCGTACGGCATAGAAGTGCAAGAAAGTTAGAAAACTAGCCAAAAGATCCCTAACGAGTCACAGACGCTGGAAAAACAGTGCAGAAAAGTTGTGAAAAAGAGGCAGAAAATTTCGCCTCTTGGTGTGAAAAAATGGTAGTGGTGGTTTGGGTGTCACTTCACACTAGTCCGTCGTATAGAGACAAAGCGCTGACGATAGTTTCATCTCTCTTACTGCCTTCTTTGAATTCGGCAAGATCTAAACTGCCATTCTCATCTTTGTCCATCATTCGGAAAATCTTTCGAACGCGTTTCTCGGGTGTATCTTCATCTTCTGGCAGTTTAACCATCGATCCGACCTGCCGTTGGAACCAGCTGCCAGTTAGGACATTGAACCAGGACAATGCTATGAAAGGCAAGGCGAGACAATGGACGACTCACCATTTTATATATAGCCTCCACAATGGCCAGCATTTCTTCATAGGTTATTTTCCCATCTCCGTCTATATCATAGAGCTGGAAAGCCCAGTCCAATTTATCTTCCATTCTCCCTCTCGATGTGATAGACAAGGCGCAGATAAACTCTTTGAAATCAATCATGCCACTGTCGTCGGAATCGAAAACTCTGAAAACATAATTCGCGAAGGATGATGGGTCACCGAAGGGAAAGAATTGACGGTAGATTTTTTGAAACTCCTCCTTTGTGAGGGTTCCGGATGGGCAGTCTTTTAGGAAACCTGTATATATATAAAGGCAACACACATGTGTCAGCGGAAACGTGTATGGAGCATGGCCCCATATTCCCCTCGTGCGTCTAAAAGTCACCCCCAAAAAGTAGCGGAAAATATAAAGTACCCTTGTACCATTGCTGCAATTCCTTTCTATCAAAATGGGTCGCTTTCTGCAGCTCATCCAACTGTGAGGGGGAGAGTTTCGATTGTCTATAGTACAAAAACACAGAATGTCAGCTTTTTCTTTCCTTTTTAATCCGGCCCACTTCTGGCGATGTGTAGTTCAATTGACGGCCTGCAAACGTCTTCGAACACCCGCCCGACACCAATGACAGGTGTGCAGGCTGTGATGTTAACAAGTACACACCGTCTTAATAGCAGACTTGCATAGAATGACGAAGTTAGACTGTTATAAAGGGGCAGAGGGGAAAGGAATTGGGTATCAGATGGGCCTGGTTGGGGGTTGGTCTGCATCGAGCGGGGAAATGGGGAGCTGGGGTGGTAAAATGTAAAATGCACCACAGACCAAGCTGAAACGTGGGGAGGAGGGGCGCTCACGATTTCCCCATGGCTGCAGTTATTGAAAGTACCGACGACTCAATACAGCTGCCCGACTTTGTCTAAAATCTTGTGCATGGAAATACGCCAGATATAACGAAGTGCAATTGCGCAATGTTGCAGGATAGTCGGGCGGGGTAGACGGATGACAGCAGCCAGCGATTGAAGCAAGATAGCGGGGATATCCGGGGAGTCCAATAGCAAGACCGGTGGTCAGTTGAGGTGTAGGATAAGTTAAATAGCTGGATTAGCGACGCAAAATTATCTGAAAGATAACTGGTGGTCTTGAGATGGGGATATCGTAGCGGGGGAGAAGACGTTGGAATCGGGTTGACGATCACAGACAGAACCGGGCGGGACGTTGAACCTTGGGTTGGGAATCCGGGAGTGGGTGCTGAGTCATTGCTGACTGATTGTCTCCATCCAAGACAACATGGGGACCCTTCTGCGCTACATCCTTTACCAACTCTCCCTTGTGTATCTCTATCCTGTGGGCACAAGTGACAATAACTAACAGGCTGCGGGGCGAGGAACTTGCCCGACTTGGGCCAAGCTTGTTATCTCACTCAGTTAGGGCTGACTGACCCGAGAGAGTTTGGCCTGGATGGAATGTTGGCACTAGACCCTCAACTCCATTGTGGGGGGCTGTTTTGACTGACCTCAACCTCATCATCTTTACCAGGTCGTTAACTACTCTGCAACGGCGTGTGTTCCCAAGCCTGGTTATGGGGTCTGTGTGTCGAGTCTTGCTTTCCCACGCCTTGTCTCTTCAACCCCAGACATAGTTATCTATATTAATTTGTCCGGTGGGGCACCAATGAAGGGCCGGGAGATTATTATTGTTTGGCGGGCAGCCAATGACCCAACCTCTGGGCCCACTCACAGACAACTAAAATTAATTACGGAGCATCCATGCCATACCTCAGTTCACAGAAGCGACTTTTGGTTTTGTTCCTCAAGTCTTCTCTACCATGATTACTTGGGTCGTCCACATTGGTGGGGCAACAGTTGAGTTTTATTACGCTGAGGCACCAACTTTCAGCACTTGTTCTGATATATTCTTTGCTGTCCTGTTGCATCTGTCGAGTGAGCTGTTTTGAGGTTCTCGAGATCCGACCAGGGTGCCAGGCCGATAAGAAGGATCTCAACGTTTTAGTTTTCCAGTGTGTGATGTTGGTCGGTATCCAGTTCTCTTAAAAGGTAGAGAGTACTGCGATTGTCTGGGGATATGGAGTATACAATTCATAAGATAGGCGGGCCTGTGCAACATGGTCTCTCCGACGTTTGTCAAATAGCGAGTTCCGCTGTTCAAGCCGGCCTATCGGTGAAATCATCGTAAGGGAATCCCCATAATAGGCGTGACTGCGGATGAGTTGGTTACCTTGTCTAATAATAATAAAACACCTTAAAACGAATGCAATCAATTGAGCATGTCACAGCACCACCCTGAGGGTGGTGGCTTGTTGCCAGTCAACTGTCGACGGGCATTGATTTGGAAGTTCGCCGGATTTCAACCGTTCTTATCTTTCGGCTTCCTCACACACAGTCGAGATACAATACAAAATTTACATAGTCTGTCGCCAGTACCAACGTTTATCTTTACACAAGGATCAGCGAAACTGTGTCTATAATATTCACTCCGGATAAGAGTCATTTGAGGGCCATACCCGCAGCAAGACGCGATGCCATCCCCGAAACGGACGGCGCCAAACGGCAAGATCGACGACGGCTCAACCAGCCGCCGTGGCGCACGTTCTTCCACGTTGCTGCAGAGTGCTCAAAATGCCCGTTTCTGAGTTCTGTAGAGCAAGGAGCGAAATCTTCTATATTTGATAACCATTTACATCGCATGGGAAAAGGCCAGGAATTAGGACAATATGCCAAATTCTCATCTATCATGTCACTGTCATGGAATTGGGATCGCTATTTATACATTTATTTGTAGCCATGCCACTTCCGGCTCTGGCGGTCTCATCATTCTGTGGCCACAACCAATCTCCATCAGTTCTCTTCTCAAGGGTATTTCCATGGATTACCATCTCCAAACTTATCCGCAACCAAGCCAGCGCTCCCGGGATTCGCGTACCCCGCTGCACGCTGGCGTCTATAACTCTCGATTCGTAGTCGATTAGCCTCACCCTGGGTGAGTGCTAGGTAAATTTCAACGCCAACTGCATGCAAAATCAGGGCCAGCATAAATGATGTTGATGCGGGTATCTGGAAAGAGGCCCCGATCTGTGCCGGGTCAGAATCACTAAAGACATTCGCTCTAACAATTGCAAAAGCGGCCGTCGCGTTATTGAAGCCGGATGCGCATTGTGGGTAGTCAGCTAAGTAGTCTCCTGCAGCGGCACCGTATTCCCTCCACGTAAAGTCTATCATTTCGCATGGCCATATATTCTGATACGTGCCGATTTTGGAAATGACCACAGATCCTATGACCAGGAGCGGACGTGCGGACAAGATGACACCGGCATAGAACATTGCACGCAGTATCCAGGCGCGATGCTGCTCGAGCTGCAGCCGGTATATGTTATAATATGCCAGCGCCATGCTAATCATTGGCAGTGTAGCTAGGCAGGTAACCATGAATTGCATGTCCAGTGCACCGCCAAAAGTATGCTCCATGATCATGAGGGCGCCAATGTTTGAAATCAGGAAAAGCGTCATTGCGATTCGACCATTGATGCGATGGAAGCCGGGCCATTTGCGTCGGATGGCGGGAATAAATTGCAGGACCGAGAGCAGAGCAAACGGGAGGACTGCACCGAGGTGAAGAGATATTCCCAGGCGACCGCGGACCGATTGCCACCAATATTTCTCCCCCGGAACTGTGCGTGAGACTCGGATGCCCCCAAGGGTGAAGGATTGAATGGCCTCGGATAGCGCAAAGAGAAAGAAAGGAGTTGCGAATACGCAGAATAGAATCGCATTATAGGACTTTGAAAATCCGATAGCATTGCAGATGCGTCGCCAGAGTGACATTATATTATGACCAATGGCTAGGCTGGTGAATGGCAGTGATATTATTTATATATACGAGCGAGGGAGCGTCAAAGCGGGCCCTAAAAAAAATATTGATAATATTGAGGGAGATGAAGAATTCCAAATTGCACCAGATTTCCGGGGAACAAGGAACTCTTTAAAAACACACTCTTTTTCGCTGCCCACGGTGACATCGCTCCGTGTGATGAGATGACAATTCCCATCATTTGAATTGCTTGGAGGTTTAATGCCAGGCAGGGCTATCCAGCTTGTGAAGTTGGGATAGAAGTTAAGCTTCCAAAACAGGGAGTTCATTGGGTGGATTGTCAGCCCGGGCGTGAGAAGTGTCCGTCTTTAGGCACCAGCGAAACTAAGAATAGCGAGATTTGTCCTCCACGGACCACAGAGCACTACAGCAACAGCGGATTCCGGATGGGCTGTTTCGAGTACATCAGGCTGCTGTCAAAAATAGGAATAAATGTGCATACTCTGTACATCACTAAATAACGCAAAAGCATTGGCAGCCCTCCTTTTTAACCATTTCGGTAGGAATAAAATTTCGCAACGGGTGCCAATACTTAGGGACTGTCCTTGCACACATACAATTGAACCCAAGAAATCAATTTATTTCCTGTCCTCTAATTATAGACTGTAACATCGAGAGTTGCGATTTCTTGTAGGGAAAAATCCGCAATAAGAGCCCTCCCTTTCCTGCAGTCAACCAGGTGGGAAACAAATCCCCTGACTGACCGCAGATCCCGAGGACTTGGAAAAATGATTGGGAGACAAGAATCCAGGCAACGACATTGTTAACACGAGAGGTAACTGAAGCGGGAGCAGGTGAATAGAGGTCTTTTTGTGTGTGTGTGTGTGTGTGTGTGTGTGTGTGTGTGTGTGTGTGTGTGTGAAAGGCTGGGTAATTTTGTGGCCTCGCGATCATTCTCTAGAAGTCCAAACGAGCCCTGCAATGCCCGAAAAAGCTCGTACCTTGGCTAGTTACGAGTCCGGATCCCGGATTGCTGGCTTTGCGGCTTTACGGCGAGAGCGTTAGCTGGCACGATCTGTATGGGCGACGCTGGCTGAACGGTTCTAAGGGGGAAAACCGATCCTAGGTAGTGACCGATGTGGCCGCGGACGCTTAAGTGGAGTGTGTTTTTTTTTCTTTTGTCTGTTGTCAGATATGTCAAGAGAACGATAGTTGAGATTCTCTTGAGCCCCGGGAGATGACCAGATAAACCAATCAAAACGGAAACATTGAAAAGAAAAGAAAATACCGCAGCTTTTGGGTCGAAACATAATCTCCAGGTTTTATGTCGAATCCCCAAACAGCATGGAGATAAAGACTAGAACTTTCATTATTCGCCCAACATCCTTATGCTCTATCATTCATATTCTGATCCCAAATGCTGTCCTGATTCTCTAAAACGCTAACAAATCCACCAACGATTGGGATAGCTACACCTCGTTTGTTTTCCCTTAATCCAAGCTGCATAACTGATGCGGTAAATGTTGACACGTTGGCTGCCTCACTGCACTTCCAGACTCATCTCATCAACAATAAATATTATGCAGAGTTCTTCATATTATGCGTACTGATCAAGCTGCAGTCCCATTCATTCACCCTGCGGTGAAGCCGGGTATATATCATCTGTACTCGATGATTTCAGGGAAACATCACACAGTTGATGTGGCAGTTAGACAATCAGCCAGTGTGAAAAAATAAATATAAAATAAAATAAAATAAAATAAAATAAAATAATATAATATAAATCATTTCTTGCAACATGTAATGAGAATTTCCGTGTGCAAAGAGGAACTCTGAGTGCATTTTGTGTAGATGGAGACCAAATAACCAAATTGCTGCTGTTCACTCTGCCCGAAGACAAAATACGCCAGTTTTCAATCAACTTTATTTTTCAGCATAATTACCTTGTCCATAAAAATAGTAGGGTCTGAAACGGGCCAGCTTGTTGTAAAAAGAATATCAACATAAAACAAGAGCTTGGGAAAAATCTCCGATGTGGTTATGTCACGTGAACCTACTCCAACAAGCAACCAAAGTGAGCTTGCTACCAAAGCATCAGCCGCTGACTTCTGCCAATTGCCCCGTATGGTCACTCTGGACGTTAGCAGCAGCGGGTATTACATCCCAGGGCCGCCCATCATGGACACCCAACTACTCACCCCACTCTCCACACTGGAAACCAGACTAAACAACCTCCTCATGGCCATCATCTCCTCCCCAACCGCCGCAGGAGCTCCGGCCGCTGCCTTGGCGCTCCTCGATGCGGACGACAGCCTCTCACGAGCTCTCGAAACACTCTACACACATCAGTCCAACTACGCGAAAATCCTGCGTCTGCGTGCGGAAGCTCTCTCTCTTGAAGAGCGCGTGCGGAAAATCGTCCGTGAAGTCGAGACTGTGGGGAATGAGATCTCTACCGCGTGTCAGCACGGAGCAGATGGAAGCGATGACGGAAGCGATGATGACAGCGGAGTTGAGGAGGAGGCGGAACAGTATGGCAAAGATTTAGACACGCACATGGGCGGTGTTGTGTCGGACCTATCTTCTACTAGTTTGAATAGCAAAGGGAGAAGGAGCAAAGAGGTGGACTACAAACTACTGGTCGAGTTCGCGCGCAGAATCAGTCGGTATAATAGCGATGCTGCAGCGGATGCCAGCGCTGTTCGCTCCACGAGGACACCACCAGGCGACGAGGAGCAGCGCCACCAACAGCGGGAGAGGTCTAACGTGGAGAATGGAGACGCTGCTGAACTTGCTGCTGCTGGCTCAGGGCCGGACGCGGCACAGCAAACCAAGGGCGTCGGGGTGGCAGCGCTCTCGCAGGGGACAGTCTCCTGGCTTGATGAGACAGCGAACTGGTCTCGCGATTTATCGCGCATGCAGTACCCGAGCGAAGACAGGATAAGAATGGGATTGATGGGACAGTTACAGGCGGCCGTGAGCGAAGGACTGGATGTGGAGAAGGAAATCGAGCGTTTGATCCGTCTGTCGCGGGACGAGGGCGAGGGTGACACCGACGATGGCGCTGCCAGTGAGCATGTAGCGGCGAGGGGCGAAACAGCCGGTATTGTGGGGGGGCCTGGGTCTTCAGCTGGGCACGGGCATGCTGGTGGTGGGATCGGTCGTGCGTATGCTGCGATGGGAGGCATGGCACCGATGAAGACGAAACCGAAGCCTGTTTTAGATTTGGAGCTATATGACCCGGCTGAAGATGACTGACAGTGTTCCGTGATCTCTTCTTTTGTTCAATGCATATATATCGGGGATCTTAAAGGATATGGGCGTGTTTCTGAAGTCCCGGGTCTTTGGGTGAATTGCATATTCGGGGGTGGAGGTTTCATTTATGCATTTCTTGAGCCCATTTTTGTCCCTATTAGCATCCCACATATCCCACTCAGTACCTATCTCCCCAAGTCTCTGCTTCCGTGCTCTGCCTCGCGTATAGCAACGATCTCTACTAAAATTCCCAAATCGGTATTTCGAATTTATGCTTGCCGGGCTCAGCAAAGTAATAACCCTAGGTAATGTCATGTCCATTGGTAGTAACAGCCTACGAAAACAGAAAATTACGCAAAGAACTTCCAGTGCACAAAACACCAACACAGACACGCAAGCAAGTGGTGGTAAATTAGGACAACTATCAACAACCAAAAACAAAACCGCAGCACCAACAAACACCTCACCGAATCACATAAAATGCACGTCTGAATTCGCTGTGAGTTTCCTGAGCCTCTTCCCGTAATAGTAAAACACAATACCCCACGCACAGAAGAACGTCGTGAGAGCCATGTTAAGCATGATGGCGGGGATGAAACCGCTGCGCTGGGTCCATGGGGTAATAAATTCGGCCAAGCCGTAACCCCAGAGATTTTTGTTCACAGTTATGGTAACAAAAATGCTGCCAGCAACAGGTTTGTAGCTGTCGACGGCGTACGTGCTTGCTATAGCCGGTAGAGCTGCAACCTGGATGCCTATGGCTGTGTATCCAATAATCACGATAACCTACATTGGGTTCCCTTTGTTAATTGAATGCATAAACGGCGAGAGGGAGAGAGGCGGCGTCATATATAGTAAATATACCACAAGGTTAAGTAATTGGGTGGCAAGAAAGAAACCTACCTTCCAATTCCATTTATATTCATAGCCAAAAGCCACGACAAAATTCCCAACAATCATCACGATAACGTATGGAATCATTGCAGGGAGTCTCATTTCAGGCTCTCGAATGCCTCGGTTCTTCTTCGTAGCGCGCATGGAAACCCAATCCGAGAGTGGTCCGTTCGTTACCAGACCAATGCAGGCACCGACCAGGACAGCGCAGTTGAAAAACCCAACCGTCTGGCTGTTGAAATTGTACGGCGGAGCTGCGAAATTTTGACTCTGGGTTACGTTGACCACAAGAAAAACGCTGGCTGACCAGGACACAATAAAAGCGGCTAGGTGAACAATTGGGTATAGATGAAGTTTCCACGGGATCCAAAAGTCATACAGCAAGGCTTTGAGGGGATTTTCAGTTACTCGGAAGGCCCTAAATTGTTGCATGGAAGGTTTTCCTTTTCCAAGATAAGGGTCCTTGTCGGTATCTTCTGTTTCCACGACATGTTCAAGAGTTGAGGCCGCTTGTGGGGATGTATCAGCTGAGTTGGCTGTTATGTTGATATTCGCTTTTTCAGATGATGTGTTGTTTCGTGCATGAATCTCGTTGGGGTGAAGCCGATGCCATCTTGTTTCCGGAAAAAGAAATATCAATAATACTAGGACCAGGCCTAGAATGCCGACGTTGAGCCACCAGAAGTAGCGCCAGTGAAGATGATATGCCATTGGTCCAGAAATGACGGGTGAAACCTAGATGCCTTTAGCACTGGCCGTTGGTCTGCAGATCGAACATGACTTACAACCAAGGCTCCAAAATAGAAGGTGAAATAGAGCGTGTTGTATGCCCCTCGCTCATGAAGGAACATAATGTCCGTGATGA